TGTCCAAAACTGCAATTTTGAAGGGATTTTCCAAATTGCAGTGATCGGTATCAAACTGACCCGAGAACCAAAGCTATATGGTCATAATGTTACGCACAATTGGTGTATTTTGTATTTGTATTTAATAATATGGTAAATTGTTATAAAGATAGAGATGCCTCACTAAAATTATCCAATGTTGTTTGGTCAAAACAAAACAGAAAGAAAACCGTTTGAAATTGGATTGGTGACAAAGAATCCACTCAACACATCAGTTTCCACTTATATCATGGCCACTTCTCATCTGTCTTTGCGGTTTCAATGTCTCAAATTATGATTTCAGCTTTGGACACTCCTGGGGTCAAGTACCAGCCAAAAGCCCTGAGGAAATTGGCTCGGTCCATCACAGAAAGTCATATCATATTTGCAGTTAATCCAAATTACTGAAGTTGAATGTTTGAACTCTTAAGTGAGTTCACATCACAACGTTATTAAAGTCTGGGCATTGATTGACACAAGCCTCGTTAGAATAAGAAAATGTTCTCTGCTGCTTCTGTGCACAATATAATGCACAATTAACAAGCAGAGTTCTTTGTAGATGCTATTGGATTTTGACTAGAAAATTGCACTGAAAACTGGCCTTTGTTTCTCATTAGCCCAGGGTAATGCTCTCTCTCTTATATTGAAACTTACATAAGACTTTTGAACAGTAATCCTCCTTATTCATCACTGAAATCAATTCTAGACAGCCAGCAGCAGAGGAACTTTTTAAGGAAATTGTCCTTTGAGAGAAAAAAAAAAAGAAAAAAAAAAAAAGGAAATATTTGGCACTTGAGTAGGATCAACTGAACAAAACAATGGCATTAGAAAAAACAGCAGGATTTTACAAAATATCTGGTAATTACATTGGAATATTGTAGCTAAATGCTATTTGACTATTCTGTATTGGCTTCTACACTACCACACTCAAAAGGTTAGATTCTTTGAGACATTTTAATATGTATCAATTATACAGAAAACTATTTATAGTTTTTTGTGTCACAAAAATACTATATTGACTTGTTCAGTATTTGATAGAACAGTCATTTTGGGGGGGGTCAGTATTTGTCATAAGTACTTTTTCTGTGTACTATTGGGGAACATTATTGTTATTTTTCTGTACTAAATAACTTATATGTTGGCAGGTCTATTTATAGTATTCATTGACAAAGGTTTGATTTGTTCACTCTGGGCTACAGTACACAATTGGTATTGCAACATGGGGTTAATCTTTTCTCTCACAGGAAAATGTTAAATGGGATAACATGTTAATAAGTGCTTGATTTAAGTAGTATTTGTCTTGATTTGAGTATTCTAGTATTTTGACTTAAAACAAGAACAATAGTACAAGTATTTATTATTTTTTTTATTCAAGTGCAGTAGCGTTTGCCTCCTCATTTCAAGTGAGAAAATGCATGTTGTTTTCTTATTTAAAAGGCGCACTGTGTAACTTTTCTGGTGGAGAGTCCGCCATCTGCTTGTTTCCATGGAGATGTTATTGCTTTGTCTGGAATGCCAAGGTAAAGCATTTAAGCTTATCTATCTTGCATTTACTCCATAATATGTTTTTTATTGACTTAAAAAGCTTACTGTGAGTGGGCTTGCCTCTCCACTGATCTGACAAAACGTGGCCCTGTGGCGTCAACTGTTGTTTCCGTAAAGATAAATAAGTGTAATGCCATACTGTGGAACATTCCAGGCAACATCTCAATGGAGAGAAGCAGCTGATGGACCCTCCACCAGAAAAGCAAATCTTGTTTTATAACAAAATGTTAAAATGTACTCAAATCAGCATAACTATACTTGATTCAAAGTTTTTGTGACTTATTATCTTATTTAAGACTGTCGTTTTGAATAACTAGGCTCATTTTAAGATATTTAGTTCTCCTAATATTAGACCTACTTTTACAAAACCAGTTATTTTTACATGTTTCATTTCATGCTCGGTATTTTGTCTTTCGTGTGTCACTGTTGAGACTCCCTACACGTTTTACATTTATTCCGCTGTAATAGGAGCTTCATCTCGCTCATAATCTCTGGTTGAATATTATCGTTTAACCTCAAAGCTTTTAAGTCGTCATTTTATCATCTCGAATTGCATTAGTGTCTGGTCTCTCTGAGGATGGAGCGGAAATTATTCATGAATCCTACGAGTCCAGGAGGGAGCCCACATAAATCTCATGTAAGATTCAGAGCCTGTGTAAATCCTGGGATAAATTATGTCGTTTGTAGCTCCTAAGATTCATTGCAACAGGTTAAATTAGAAGCCTTTAGATCTTATTAACAGGCATATCATGATAATAATGATTTTTCAAGTGTGATGTATTGCTAGACAAAATATTGTGACGTATGATAATATTAGGGACCACTTTATGCCACAAACAGTACAGCATAATAATTCTCATAAACCTTGTAAATAAATTGAGTTAAAATACAAAAAATAACTCAATGAAACACAACGTACTTCAGAAGAAACTTGTGTTAGCATTAATAACGAGTACTGTAACTTATGGTGGGGGGTCTAAAACTTGCTTGTCTCCATGGAGATGTTTTGCTATCTATCTTACATATTCAACTAGAGATGCTGTACTGCAAAAAAACTAAACAAACAAAAAATATATATATTGAAATCATGCATTCTTATTGTGAGGGCTCACATTTTCGCAGATCTGAATTGTAACTTGGCTTGGTGGCGTCACCTGCTTTCCACTATGGAGATAGAGAAGTTTAATGCCAAACTGTGGAACATTATAGGCAAAGTAATGCCATCAAAAGCAGGTGGCATAGCTTACACACTTTACTGTAGTACAAGGAAAGGGCTAGAACTTGTAAAAAAGTGAATAAAATTAATATTGAACCAAAAAAACAACTATTGTTAATTTGTAATTTATTGAACAGAAGTTGATTAAAGGTGCCTTGTGTAGTTACAGGTCAGATCTCTGGAGAGGCAACCCTGCTCTGAGTCAGAATGCCTGTTTTTCTCAGTATTTTTGGGCTATAAAACCATCTGTAATTGAATAAATGTACGGTAGAGCTGTTTAATGTCATACTGTGGAACATTCCAGGCCGAGCGATGACAAATCCATAGAAACAAGCAGGTACCCTCCACCAGAAAATTTACAAATTGCACCATTAAGTAACTGAGTAATTACTTTGATATGTTTGCAGGTGACTTTCTGTGTTCCTCAAACTGTTGTGGCGCCCCTCCTGGCCACTAGCCAAAACTGCATGCCTGCTTTATTTGGTTTGCCCGACTTAACAAGGGGCATTACTGTGTCTGGGCTTTTGATCTGTGCTGATTGCTGCAGATAAGTTAAGGCCATGGACTAAAAAAAAGTGGGCTTCATTTTTTAAAAGCTTATTAAGACTGGAAGATAACCCCATTTTTTCAATTTAACGGATATTAGCAGGAAGTGCGTAAATAATAGATGAGGACTGCTGCTTGACGCTAGACTTCTAGATGTCCGTACACAGCTCTGGAAGTGTAGAGAGAGTACTGCAATTTGAAGTACTTCTTACATTTCTTAGTCTGACATTCACAAGTCTCTGCTTGTGTCAAGGGCTGCAGTGAGAGATCTTTCAGTTATGAATTCAATAAACCAAATATGAACCAGAGAAAACTTATATAAGTCTGTGCAAAGTTTAGTTAAAACGCCCTATGCTCCAGGGATTGTATCGCCTGCTTGTTTCCTTGGAGATTTTTTTCCTTGCCTGGAATGTTCCACAGTATAGTATTAAGTGTATCTGCCTCCATGAAGAAGCATGTATCACCACCACACCAAGTTACCAGTCAGATCTACGTGAAGGCGACCCAGTTCTCATTAAGAGTGCAAGTCATTTAATGTATTTTAGCTTTAAACCAACTGTATTTGAATAAATGCAAGATAGTTTATAACCATGGCAATAACATCGTCATAGAGGCAAATAGGTGGCAGACTCACCAGAAAAGTTACATTGTGCACCTTTAACATATCAAAATGAAAGTCTTCATAGTAATCATCTATAAAGGTCTATATTACGCAAAACTGTTGTTGTTTTTATTCATTTTTAAGGTGCTTTGTGTAACGTTTTTGGTGGAGGGTCCGTCAAATGCTTTTCTCCGTAGAAATGTTATTGCTTTGTCTGAAATGTTTAACAGTACGGTATTAAACCTTTCAAACCTCTCATATTAAACCTCCATCTTCATGGAGACCAAACCAGACCAAGTTACAGGTCAGGTCAGGTCTGTGGAGAGGCAACCCCATTTACAGTCCAAATGCCTGTTTTTCTAGGTATTTTTGAGCAATAAAACCACCTGTAATTGAACAAATGTAGGGGGCAGACCCTCCACTGGAAAAGTTACACAATGCACCTTTAACCATACCAGTCCTGATGCAGTAAGTCTCATATTTTATATCTATAACTTCCTTATCTTGAACTCACATTCATAGTCTCGTTTTTCTTTATTGTGTGTCCTTGTAAACGCCTCTATTCACTTTTGCTTCTAATGTTTTTTTCTCAACTTGAGGGACTTGTTGGCGTTAGCAACAATATAAAACACATATTTCCCCTGACTTCTCTCTCTGCTGTCTGCCTGTCTCCTCTCTCAATCTTTGCTTCAAGAGCCTTATTATCTGAGGTTACCGGACTGATTTTTTCTTTGTCCTTTAGAGCTGGCTAATCTTTACTTTAATCTTTGGGGGAAAAGGTCTTTTGAATTACCCACAATTCATTTCACCTCCAGCTGATAAAGCACCCTGGTCGACCTAATCTTGTTTTTTGCGTCACTACCTGTCCGCTTTCTCTTCGGTTTTCTTCTAATATTTCAAATACAAAACATGATGTATTGCAAAGAAAACCATTTATAATTTTGCTTCCCCCCAGTTCCTCGCGATCAGCAATCAAAAAACAGCCAGCGGTCCAAGAGGAAATTGTATTATTTCCTTGGATCAGGGCCCTCATAGTTCACCAACCTGTATTAATTTTCAGCCTTATTTCTTCTATCAAACAAAATCCTTTGAAATAGCCTCCACAAAGTTCGGCGCGGACATGAGAATAGAAATGGTGCAAATTATATTGAAGACACTGAACGCCACCAAACAAAGACGGTCGATTACTGCTCCAGCAAACTTCCACTGGTCTGCCATGCTTTCTGTCTCATCCTGTTCGCGAAATCTGTCTGCCATATAGCGCACCTCCTCCAAAATCGCCTGGAGCTGAGGGTCCCCTATCCCAGAAGTAGAGCACCCTCCCAGCCCGCCGTGTCCTCCTCCAAAACCCCCTCCGCTGGATACCGTACTGGGGCATCCTGTGTCCAAATTGGGAGTGGGAGGGGGCGGCGAGCTGCAGAATTGGGAGGGTAGGTGCGGAGGTGGGCTTCCTGCCACTCTCGGAGGTCCTGAAGTGAGATTTCTCTGCACGGCCTCGGAAAGCAAACTTGGGTCATCCATGCTTTGAAAACCCATGTATAATAGGTTGCCATTGTTGTTAGCGCTGGTTTGGGAGTGGAGGTGGGGGTGTCCCGTGTGCAGGGGTCCCGTCTGGAGGGAGCCCAGGTTTTGTGGGTGCAGCGGGTGCAGGGTGGGGTCTGGAGGGTTGGGGATGCTGCCGCTTTGGGAGCCAGAGGAGCAACGTCGAAGGTGGGGGGCGCAGGGGGGACGCTCGGGGTCATCGTTCTCTCCCGGGCGTTTCATTCGTAAAAACCAGGCAACCCACTGCAGCAGGACGAGCCGCACCTAAAGACAGACAGAGAGGCACATGGTGAAAAAGTAGTAAATTATGAAAATAGAAAGAAAATGTAGTAACGACTAAAAGGTGTACTTTGTCACTTTTTGTTTGGGGACGTCACCTTCTTGTTTATATGGATATGTCATTGATTTGCCTGATATGTTCCATAATATAATATTAAACGGATCTACCTTACATTTATTCAATTACAAGTGGATTTACAGCCCAAACTGAGCGATGTTGCCTTTCCACAGAGCTGACCTGTAACTTGGCCTGGTTTGGGCTCCATGATGAAAAGGTTCAAAGCTATAAAGTGAAACATTCCAGACAAAGCAAAAATATCTTCATGAAGAAGAACATTTGATGGACCCTCCATCAGAGAACTTACACAATGCAACTTTAATTAAAAATAAAATGGTTTAAAAGAATGTTTTTTTAAAGAATATAAATATGAAATTGAAAAAAAATGGTTTATCAAATAAGTATCTACTAATCAATATACTATTTAGTGATTAAAAATGAAGAAACACAAAGACAGAAAGAATATGTGATTGCTTAATTCAGAAGTTTCTTAATGATAAAAAATAAGGACTGTTGCCATAGCAATTTAAAACAAACAGGCGCAATCAGAGATAGCAACCTGGTCCCCCATGACGCATCAATGGGGGCAGTTCATCACCACGAAAGCCATCTTATGAGGAGCCCAGCCAATACCCCAGTAATGTGTGTGCCAACTTGTGTGATGATTGGGTGAATATTTTAGCCCGCAGATGGTTCAGAAATTGCAGAAATTGACCTTTAAATTGACCCGTGTGACCTCAAATGACCCTGGATCGTCACCAAACTTTTTTTTTTGCGGCATTGGGCACAGGGGCTTGACCCACGTACCAAATTTGGTGACAATCGGTCCATAAATGGTGGAATCAATGGTGGACAGACACACAGACACAGAGGGTGAATACAAAACCTTGTCAACCCTTCGGGGACCAGGTAAATACAGATTTTGACTGGAGAACTGTTCTAAAAATGGGAAGCTCCAAACCATGAATACCAGATGTCAACTTTTACCTTATATTATAAAATATATTACATTCTTTACGATTCAAAAAGAGAATTAATATTAATGTAAAACAAAATGAGAAACCAGGTGGAAAGTTACATTGTCAGAAATGGTCACATTGGACAATGAAGAAAATCCGCTAAATGGTTTACATATGTTGTGGAAATGCAGGAGGATTAAAGACATAGAACAAATGTACAGCATGTATGTAAATAGGGAGATAAAGAAATATACTTAATCTCACATAATCCTATTTAATCCTGCATAGTCCTCTCTTTTGTAAAACACACTGAATAAAAACAATTACACTGGGAGACTTATTCTGTTAAAGCAAACAACTATTACTCATGAACTGTACCTTAAATAAAACATGTGGGCAGAAATTATATAAGCATTTAAAGGTGCACTATGTAACTTTTCTGGTGTAGGGTCTGCCATTTGCTTGTCTTCATGGAGATGTTACTGCTTTCCTGGAATGTTGCGCAGTATGGCATTAAACTTATCTATCTTGCATTTATTTAATGACAGGTGTTTTACTGCTTTTAATGTGAGCAAGGGAGCCTTCCCACAGATCTGACTTGTACCTTAGTCTGTTAATTGAAAGGTTCAAGTTAAATACCCCATGTGTCATGATATTGGCAAAGCAAAACATCTCCATAAAAACAAACAAGCGGCGAAAATAGAAATGTTCACCTTTACCGTTGAGTATCGTTCACCTTTAAGTGAGTTCAACGGGGCCAAATAGTGAAATTGCGATGTATTTGAACACTAATGAAGTGACGCACTATTAAACCCGGAGCTTTTTATCGGCTTGTTGTACTTGTGAGTCTGAGGGCTGCATATAAATCCATTAAGAGGAAGCTAAGAGCAGCGCGCATTGAAAAACGCCCACACGTCTCAACCTTCACCACATCCGCGCGGCGAGGCTGGCACTGTCATTTGTGTGGAGACAGAGGGCAGAGCGCAGTCTCCGGCCTTGGGTCTATCCTGTTATGAATGTAGCCAAAGATTTAAGTCACTGAGGGAAGTTTAACACTGCCGAAGACTTTCTCAGAGGCTTTTAAGGACAAGAACACGGTTATGTTTTAGTATTCTATAAGAGACATAAAATATATGTCTCCAGTAATTACAATGGTTTAATTTGCCTTAATAACTCATTAATAAGTACTTAAAGAAGAATATTGTGCATGAGTATGCAATTCACTTTTATTATATGATACCCATGGAATATTAGGATATAATTTGAACATTTTAAAATGCAATATTCACCTTAAATGACTTAATGAAAGAAACAGGTCTGCTGGCATCCATGTTAGAAAACTGCAGTGCCCAAGAAATAAGAAAATACAATAAAATTGGAAAACAGAGTCAGTGCAGAGCAGTGGGCATGTCCCAAAGGCATGAAAATGGGGGTTGATCTGAGCAGACATCTTGAACACAGGAGTACAAATATTGCTCAAACATGCATGGATCACACTAAATACAACTTTGAAAGGGTAAATGAGAAGGAAAACAACTATAACATGGTTAAAAGTGCTAAAAAAGTTAAATTAGCGTAATACGCCATCTTTAATTTGTATAATAGGTCTGCTTTAACTAATAAAGAACAGTTTATTAAGATTGATTAAAACATAGTAACTCCTAACTCCTAACCTTAACCCTCAATGAACAAAGCCTGAATCATTCTCCAGTCTTTGTTCAGGCCTTAAGGCTGACTACAAACACACTACAAAAAGCTATGTGGACTTCTCTTAAAAAACAAAATAACTCCATGGTTTGAGTCCAGACTCTTCTCAGAAGGGACCGGCTGGTTAGGAAGACAGATAAATGAATCCTGGATAAAATGTAGACCAGTGCAGTGTTTACAGGGTTATATTCATCTTCATACTTCAGAGTAGGGATGGGCATGATTAATCGATTAATCGATAATTGATCATTAAGAATTTCCATCGATTACGTTCATTTTAATCGACAAACCGAATGTAGGTTGCTGTGCGTAGCGTGACCAAACAGGGGTCCGTACATGTAGCTCTGCACTCAGAAGGAGCGAGCAAACACAAACAGTAGGTCAGTCTGCAGCGTGCCGAAGCACAAATGTGTATTTAACGATGATTTGTACAAGAAATTCCACGCTTTCTGTTGCGTTCGGGACAAGTGGGAGTCCATGTGCACAGTGTACAAAGCAGCACATATGTTTCAGTGTCCAGTATGAAGTGAGAGTCGCGCAATGTCGATGACGAGTCCCCACCTCCCACCCCCCGTACGGTGTCCTGGTTTTGACAAACGCAAATCTGGTCACACTAACCTGTATTCCACTGAGTCATGTCTTTTAATCCGACAGAAATTGACCGCATCAGCGACACAAGAGCTGTAGTTTTATCTTCACTGAGTTTATGCAAATTAGCGATGCGGTTTTAAGTTTTCGTTTCTGTGAGAGTTGCGCAAAACTGAATTTAACACATTATAATCTCAAACGGCTGATGTGGCTCTAGAGTCGTTACGGTTTATATGTCGTAAAGTTGAATTTATTTATGCAGATTAGTAGTGCAGATAGTAATAATAATGATGATCATTTTAATATAAAAACGTTAATGATGAATCAATAATCGATCGTTAATTCTTCCAACGATCGATTAAGAAAATTTCATCGAATGCCCATCCCTACTTCAGAGTATAATGTCCTGCAGAGACCAAGTTTACGCATTATTACGACACAATGTACCAGTAGGCTATATCAGTTTAAACACTTCAATCAATTAATTTTCTGGCCCTGTTTTTATATGATTTTCAAACTGAATTTTGCTCTTGTTCAATTAGTATCCAAATAATTTCCCTTCTGGATCAATAAAGTTTGTCTAAGTCTAAGTTGTTACATTCACAAGATGAAAGATGAAATTATGTTTTACTGAAATAATGAGTCTAACCTGTCATATGGACTTTAAGGTTAATTAGGATGTTGTTACTACAAAGTAGTCACAAGGCAATTAAAACAATCAATCTCCTCTTTAAAATAATATTCAATTTTTATTTGCAGCTTCAGACCAGCAGAGTGCTGCTTACTCAAACATGACAAACAGATGGTCCCCCTGCGTCTGATGAGCACGTCACACTGACTTGTTAATTACCCCAGGCTCATGTTTGGGGCAGATACTGGGGCTTTGTGCTGCTGCTTTCTGTCCATGGTGCAATTATGAAGTAGCTGGTCTAATGCCCTCCTCTGGATCTCATCAATTACACAGCTAATTGGCCATCAGACTTCGAGAATAAGTCATTCATCAACACAGCGCCCTGCCACGTGTCAATAGACTCTGCATCTGCAATCTGTAATGAGAATAAACTACGGCATGTTTATTGATAAATGTTACTGATCAATATCCGCTCCAGTCAAAACAAATCACCACAAAATACATCGTTAAGAATAGACCATTGATTTTACTTTCTATCCATGTCTTTATTGATTTACTGTATTGTATTACATGAGGTAGGGGTCTTATAAAAATGACTGAATGAAGAAAGCCACACACACTAAACAAGTGCTATGAAGACTGGAGGAAATAGCTCTGTAGGTACAGCTTTACAATAACTACATAGCAAATAATTAATTAATAATGAGCATATTGTTTATGTTGTAATAGTATTTATTGGCATAATGGTATTTAACACTGAATAGATACCACTGCCTATTTTTGAACATTAAAGGTACTAAACTGACTCTTATGAGATTTAAGTCATGTTATAATGTAATAAACATACCTGGAGTTGTGTTTTTTTCATTCACACATGTTTGAGATGCCCTTTATTATTTGTCTGTCTACATCTCCAGAGCTCATAATCCACCTTGTTATGTCATGAAGCTGTAGTTTTTAAGAGATGGCAATTCTGGGGCTGAAAATACCCAAATTATTCTAGTGAAAGTGTTTGGAGTTTAAAAACACAGTGGAGCACAAATTGTATTACCACATGACCAAAGTGGAACAGTGTTTTATGCTTTATGCCTAAATATGCAGGATTTGTGTATGAATGAAACAAAACACAACTGCAGGTATGATTTTCATAAGGAAACAACATGATAACAGATCTGAAAAAAAAAAAAAAAAAAGTAATATGGGCCTTTTAAAGTAGAGTTTTCTGGTATTTTTATTGTTTCATATATGTTTGTGATACTAAACCATAGATGTTTTTAAAATATGCCTTGTAAGTAAGTGTGATTGATTGATGGATTGATTGATTGACTGATAATAGTAATATAATAATAATGTTTAATGCTAAATAGTTCTGAAAGTAGCTTTTTTCTTGCCTGATTCATTCACTGTTGGTTCACACTGATGGACGCAAACCTGTCAATCTGCCAACAGCCAACAGCCTTCAAGTTTGTGCCTCTGCTGCACTGTACAAGCTGCACTATTCTGTTTTTCATTTTCATAGAGATTTAGGGCCCTATCCTGCCACCCGTCTTGTGTTAGCAAGGAGACATGTTTAGGTCAAGCTGTACTTTGCAGCTGGGGGCTGGCGTGGGACGGTACAGGCACATACTGTATATGGTGATGGCCTCTGAACCAATCTGTGACCACTGTGGCATTTAAAATCACTGCCAGCATGAGTAATGTCTGCAATCTTTGCCTCATTACCAGGCAGCAAAGAGGGGTGTGGGGAAAAAAAATATATACTGTATATGGGTACAAAAAACAGCTTTGGGGCTCCAAGATTATAGAATTTTGGATGGGTAGTCAACTGACAGTCTGCTCCGGCCTCACCTGGGGTTCGAGTTTCCACTGCTGCTACTGCTGAGTGCGCGCATTTTCGTCTCAAAGGTATCCACTGCATTTGGTTCAAAACAGGACCATAAATTGTGGAATCCATTTATTGTAATACAAATGTTTCTGATGTTATCGCTTTGTGCACGGACATGGATTAACCATTAACATACAAGGAGGGGGGTGACGGCACGCTCTGCGCTTGTAGAAGGAGGTGCTGCGCCATGAGCAGTACCCTGTGGACAGGGTCAGAAAATACACTTTAGGATAGTGCTGTAAATGGCCTCATGTGAATGAGCAGTTTTGATACAGATCCAGATCAAACCAAACTGTAAAGCAGCACTGAGCCGAAACAGGGAGCGGGCATGTGGCTGTGCTCTGCTGCGAGAGGGAATCTGGACAGCATACGAACAGCCCAGACAGTAAAAGAACATGTGAATGTTACGTATTCTCATATATTTAAAAATAAAAGAAGGGTTTTTATGCCTTGAACATGTTACATGTAATGTTTTTCAGTGGACCAGTTTGATATTTCAATTCTGGCAATTCACAAAACGTGCCTCACCATGCCTCAGTCTGCTCCGCTCCACCTGATATTCAGGCACGGCACACCTCTTGTTTAGAGCTCCACGCCCCACGCTTGTGCTTGTGCAAAGACCAGTGACAAGATACGACCCTTACTGTTTAGGAATATTAATCCAGCCAGTGCTCTGTACCAAATCTGTAATTTAAGGGATGGCATCAGGAAGGGCATTTGATGTAAAAGTAGGGTAGGGAGATATTGATATGAACGATATTGACTGAATTTTTGATGATTTGTTTATTTCGAGGAATTGATTAAGGATAATATTTCATACATAAGAATGAAAACACAAACAAAATAAACAATAATATATCTTTGAATGCATCACATTTAAAAAATGTCTAAAGTCTCTTTGCTCAAAAGGGAGACTAATGAAGTAATACTTATACTTTCTAGTATACTTCATGAAAATACATTATAAAGTCACACAAATCAGTAATAAGAATATTGAAAAAGGACCCATTAAAACACTTGAGCTAGATTTACTTGTTTAAGGCAATTTAAGTTTTTATTATATGTTCTGTTTCCCCTCAGTCATTTGTCATTGTTAAAGTCTTCTGCATGTGCAGAGTCTCTAAAATCAGTGCTTAAGCGGCACTTGGCGTAAACGGTAGCATTTAAATGCAATCTGAGTCTGCCTCCCATCACAGCTACATTTTGCAATATTTAAATTTCATATTTTGCCTGAAGCATAAAACAAGATCATGGGCAGCACCATGCAAAAGTTATTCCAGTATGTACCAACACCAACACTGAACTTTTGACCCCAGAATAACTAACAAAGACAGAACACATATATCCTTTCTTTCCTTCTCAGATGATTGTCCTGGTTTCGGTCTAAAACTTTAGTTAAAGAGATTTGGAGACACATTGCAGCGAGACAGACCGCAGGAAGAAATCCATGTCACCCCCAGATTGTGAGTGCTTTGAATTCACTGTCTCTTTTTTAAAATGAAGGGAGGACTTTGATGAGAGAGCAGAAGAGGGCTGACAGGCTGGGCTGAGTCAGAGCCAGAGGAACAGGGAGGATAGGAGCGGACGGGACCCATGAAAAATGTAGTTACAGTGATACGAACGGCGGAGTGAGACGCTTAGAAATGGAGATGAATGGGGCAGTAACATCATTTATAAGATTAAGAGAGAGGTGTAAAAGAACTAAGCGATGATGCATTTGAAGCCATTACACAAAAGATCTCTATTCAGACTGTTCTGTATTCAACCATATTCCAGAGAGCAGCCAGAAACTATAACAACACTAAACTGTTGGCTGCAAGGCTCATTGACAACAATATAAACATGACTGTCCTGGTACAAGGTTACTACCTCAGGATACTAATAACTACTATTATCTTGTGTTAAAAAACACATTGTATTGTCAACAAAGTTTTTGTTTAATAATTGTGGTGTCTAAATCAGACCTGAGTATCGCCCCTTTTGCTTGGTATTGAAAGTTTACTAGGATGCACTGATCCAGCTTTTTTCGGTTCTGATACAGATGTCAATACTTACATGATATTATCCAATACCAGGGGAGAGAGTGAAAATAGCAAATGGGTTTCGAGTAGAACAGCTTTGATAAATAAAAGTTTTCTAAGATGTTTTGGGCCGACACTGCAAATCATCTTATTACACCAATTTAGACCAAGATGGGATATCGGCTGAACTGATATTTGATACACCAAAATGTTCAATATTAGCCCCAATATTCGATATCAGTATCTTAACGGCGCATCCCTATTTAGTATAGTAACAGGTATACCTAAAAATAGACAGCATTGGAGCAAAGCAAAGGATCATGGTCTAGACTGCTTTTTATCCACACATTTCAAACCAAAATGTGTATCATTTTAATTAATGTAAAACAATGCATAATGTTGTAAAAACTTCATATTATAATATACTGTATACCCAAAATTACACAACATTCACAATTCACAAAGACAACCAAAAGGCCACATCAAAAAGTTATACTTCTCAGGTTTTAGATGTAAAATTTATGAAAGAGAATGTATTAATTTAAGTCTTGCTCATGCTCCCAACACCATTTCTCCATTAGCATTATGCGTTTGAACATCACCGCGCACAGTCATGATTTTCGTTTTATCTGAAATCGTATGAAGTGAACATAGCTGAGACTCACCCATTTGGGCATGTTCCCTCCGTTGGGGTCGTGGTGGTGATACTGCAGGACCACCACAGTAGCGATGACTGACATTCCCACAATGATCATTATACTGGCAATACTGGCCTGAAACAGCAGAGAGGGACACAGGGGATTATAGGGTACACCAAAAGACTAACATTTTAACCAAGAATGCATGTTTTAGGTAAGACTGAATCAGCTACATTTAGCACTGGACATTTCGATCTAAGAATTAAAAGCAGCAGTTACCAAAAGAACAAGCAGAAAACAGAAGGAAAAAAAGCAGAATGAGCACACACTTAGTATACCAGACTTTAATTACATGAACATTTAAATGGTAACTACGCTTGGTTAATTGTTTTCCATCAATTACAAACTTTATGCATTTATTGAGTGAGTGTAAAACTTCAATTTACTAACAACACTAGCTACAGGCACCGTGAGTGTGCCCTCGTATTCTATGCACGGGATCGTCTCTATGTAAGGAATCGTCTCTAATACAGAAGATATACAGTATGTTTTCAGACAGTGGGAAGGAGCTCTGCTAACCAACATACTTCCCATTATTTTTCTTTTTTTTCTTTTCAAAAATTTATGTTATAAAAGTCATCACAAACATACCTGGAGTTCTGTGTTTTGTTTCATTCACATGTTTAACTCACAAACCCTGTACATTTTATCATTCAAGGAGAATCCACTGTGTGTTAAACTCCACACACCTTTACTAGAATCATTTGGATAATTTCAGCCCTGGAATTGCCAATTTCTACTGAACTAAAGGTAAAATCTAGCTGTTACCTTAAAAATCTGCCACTACATGACATCACAATGGGAAACAGAGCATTTTGAGCTTTGTAGATGTAGACAGACTAATAATAATGGGTTACTCAAACATGTGTGAATTAAACAAAACACAACTACAGGTATGGTTCAGTCATTTTTGTGTAATATAGGACCTTTAAACCAGCATGGAGCTAAAATGTTGTGACATACAGTAATATAAGAGCTACATAAATGTCTGGCAGCTCCAATTCATCTGAAAAGAAGGTATTTTGGGATCTAAAATCCTATAACACATAGTCTGGATCCTCTGACAGCTAGTGAGAGGAGAGAGCTCACACTGCAAGAAAAAGAGCAAAATTTCATCTGGGTTTAAAGGTGCACTAAGCTTTTTTCTGCTTGTCTCCATGGAAACAACCAGATGACAATAACAGGCTATGTTACAGGTCAGATCTGTAATGTGGCCAGTAAGAATGCATGCTTTTCAAGGTTTTTCTAAGCAATAGCAACACTGTTAAGTGAATAAATGAAAGACAGATTAGATTCTCACCATATTGTGACATATTCCTGATAAAGCAGTAGTATTTCCAAGGAGACAAGCAGGTGCCAGAACTCCCATAATAAAAGTTGCATAGTGCACCTTTACTGTAAAAATAACACTTCATCTACACCTATATTACCACCATAATGGTATAATGTTGTTTCCTCATCACATACCTGGAGTTGTGTTTTGTTTCATTCACACATGTTTAACACACAAACCCTGCATATTACACTGAATTTGTCCCTCAGAAAAACAGAAAAACCTTGTTCCAACTTGTGATGCCATGTGATAATACCGGAAGTGCTCCACTGTTTGTTTGTTTTTTAAACTATACACCTTCACTAGAATTTGGATAATTTCAGTCCTGGAATTACCAATCACTACTGAACTAAAAATAAATGGTAATCAAATGTGTGGATGAAGCAAAACACAACTCCGGGTGCATGTTTTTATGAGGTATCAACATTATAACATACATCCGAAAATAGCGAGACATGCCTAAAACCTCACAAGAGTCAATTTTGTGTAATACAGGACCTTTAAGGTTGCTATCCTCTGCTATGACTATGCTGTCCTGTATCCCTCACTTCACATTGCGACTCGTTCCCAGTGAAATATTTGTTTATTAAGACATCATAAAGAGAATATTAATTTAGTCCGAATGAGCTGATTAATTATTGCGGGAGTTGCACTGACAAACATCATCAACTAATTAGTGTAACTCTCCACAGGGCTCCCTGCCAACATCATTTAATCACATCTTTGGCACTTCGCAAATAAACCACTGCAACATAATACAACACAAATCGATTTTTTAAATATTTTAACATTTCCTTTTGAGCTCTAAGAACTAAAGTTGTTCATTGTATCAGTTTAAACAAACAAATCCCCTAGCTAGGTATTCCTGACTAAAGTCCGGAGTAATAAGTAATAAATATTCAATGCGTCCACTGTGTACTATCTGCATCTAATTATAAAGCGTTTTATGTTCTGATAATCAAGAAGAGCACTGTTAGCATGCTAGTTGTTGTTAGCGTTACTACGACAGCAAAACTCTGGCCTCTAAAAGAAAACAGTAATTAGGATGCTCATGTTTTTAAGAAAAATCAGCTACAGAGCCTTTAAATGGACTAGATGCGTTTTACAAACACTCAGTCAAAGCGGTGGTGAATTTTTGATCCAATATGGCCAACATCCTGTTCATCACAGAGCCGTGTGCCAATTCAACTTTTGGCTTGTCTGATTGTTCTCTATCACTGTTCCAAATTTTGTTGTCTACGCCAAACTTTGCTTGTCCTCACTCTCATAGGGGTCCACTTCCAGATGGCGCTGCGGAGTCAGGTCACTTTGGACATTGTTGCGATGTCTTTTTAATCAAATTTTTCACCCTCAGAACAATAGCCAAATAATAATAGCTAATAACTCATTTATAGCACTGACACTAAAACCAAACAGTAGAATTGTCCTCAAAAATGATTCTAAAAAAATATTCTTTTAATAATATGGTTAAAAAACACAAACTATAATAAATAAATAGCAGAATGAAAAAGTTTAATACTTTGTATCTATAGTGACTCAGATGTTATTTATTCATCATTCTACAGTTCAGATATTACTGCAGAACAGAAAAATAGCTGAAAATTCTCCACTAATACAAAGAAAATATGCCCACCCATTTTGTTATGTGACATATAACTTCCTTCTACTGGGACTAAAATGCCACTGAAAGAAAAGCTCTGTGCAGGACTGTTGGGGGGACTAACCAACAGCTTCCTGCGGAGTTTAATGGCCAGGATTTGTGTCTTTGAGATGAAATGTCACTGAATCTGGCTTCGAGACTACTTTTTTAATTCACTAAAGGATCATTTCCAACTGTGGGCATACGGTCAATTTGGCCAATTACGTTTTAAGACACAGCAGATGGTGAAAATAAATTGTACACTGTTTCTGAGCTTTTGTTGCTCTGTTATATTGTGTTCCCTGGTAAGTTAAAGGTGCATTGTGTAACTTTTCTGGAGGGGGGGGTCCGTCAAACGCTGTCCTCCATGGAGACGCAATTGCTTTGTCTGTCATGTTTCACAGTACGGTATTAAACCTTTCTATCTTCATGGAGACCAAACCAGACCAAGTTACAGGTCAGTTCTGTGGAGAGGTGACCCCGCTCACAGTCAGAATGCCTGTTTTTCTAAGTATTTTTAAGCTATAAAACCACATGTAATTGAATAAATGTTTAATGTCATACTGTGGAACATTACAGACAGAGCAATAGCATATCCATAGAAACAAGCAGGTGACAAACTCCCAACCAAAAAGTTACGTAGTGCACCTTTAAGTAAGACATAAATGTGAAAAACAGGCTCAAATTTAGTTAAAGATTTGTGTTAAATGGACTGCATGTTTGTCCAGATCTGATTTGTGAAATTAATCCAAAATATATCTTTATTTTAAAACTTTATCAAGTAAATTTAAGCAACTAGTTTGACAAGAGCACGCCCCAAAATGTCCCGAGCGTAACTTAACTTCTAGTAGTATTTGTTGATGCATTAATTCAGACCATAGACCGTAAGGTTTATGGTTTTATTCAATTACACGTGGTTTTAAAGCTCAAAAATACCTAGAAAAACACGCATTCTGACTGTGTGTGAGGTCACCTCTCCACAGATCTGACCTGTATCTTGGTCTGGTTTGGTTTCTATAAAGACTAGATTAAGAAATAGCATCTCTATGAAGAAAAGCATTTGACAGACCTTCCAACATAAAAGTTACACAGTGCACCTTTAAGGAAAATGTAAGTTTATGCAAAGTTAGAGACAAAAACAAGTAAAATCTTGAAATCCTACATACCTATTAGTGGAACTGAGTCAGATGTGGCTGGCATGATTTCTGCTACCAGTAACATGAAGACAGTGAGAGACAGCAGGACCGTGATCCCTGCAAAAACACAAACACAGATCAATTTCAATCAGTTTAATACATAAGTTGTTGTGGTTTGTAAAGCAAAGTACTCTTTTTACTTTTGATAAATGACCTCCAACTGAGCTTCGATTTATGCTAATGGACTACTGCTTGTACACTGAAGAACTTTTACATAGTGTACTTCTCCTTCTGTTTCAAAGTTGTCCAAAAAACTTAAAGTACTCAAATCTATCTTCATTTACCCTGGACTATCTCCCTCATGCACTCTCTCCATAGTGCTTAGCTGACATTTCTTTCCTATTCAAAAGCATCCAATTCCTATTCAAAATCATCTATATTACGCAGTTTTCTATATGTTATAATGCAGTTTCCTCATCACAAACATACCTGGAGTTGTGTTTTATTTCATTCACACATGTTTAACACACAAACCCTGCATAACATAAAACACTGTTCCATCTTCTACCTTGTAAAGTCATCGTTACGGCCACCAACCTCTAGCTCCTCCTACAGCCATATATGTTTAATTCCCTACTGATGATCCCTGTGTGTGTGTGTGTGTGTGTGTGTGTGTGTGTGCGTGTGTGTGTGTGTGTGTGTGTGTGTGTGTGTGTGTGTGTGTGTGTGTGTGTGTGTGTGTGTGTGTGTGCATGCAAGCCTCCATTTGCCACACCCCTGCAGTGATTGGTAGATTCAATTCAACGTGGCACCTGGGTCCCCTTCTACTGACTGGTGGATCGCCCTAACATCTGGCCAATCCTGGGCCTTCACCTGAGGCTGCCACACCTTAAAAGGACCCGCCCCTGCCACTCATGGCTGCTGTTCTGCCTGTGGACTGCATGCCACATTTGCTGTGTCTCTTGTGTCACTCTGGTTAACTGTGATTGAGACACTAGTAGTCCTTGGTGACTAACCCTGCGTTATATTATCTTCAGACTCCCACTTGGACCTCACATTTGATGCCACGTCCAAGCTTGAAGCGTATTATTATGTTTTGTGTGTCAGACTCAGAGGGCCTCACCACAACACCAACTACCAAACCCATAGGCAGTGATACGAACGCGGTAAGGTATTGCAGTGATACGAGGGACTGAAATTGTCATTTAAACCACCAAAGTGACCACACAATGAAAACAGTTGATATTTATACGCCACAGTGGGCTGAGCCATCTTGGTTTCTGACTCAGAATCCTTGCTCGGTCTACTTTTTCTGCCACTGAGTTGCACCGTCCCAGGAAAAGAGGCGTGTTGCACGTGTCGCTAGGCAACTTCCTTGGAAAACTGACTCGGAAGGATAATCGAATTGTTTTTAAACTCCATACACCTTCACTAAAATCATTTGGGTAATTTCAGCTCTGGAATTACCAGTCTCTACTGAACATAAGTAAAAGGTAGCTGTTAACTTGAAAGCTACCAATAAATGATATCACAAGGTGGAGCAGAGCATTTTGAGCTTTGCAGACTATTAGTAAAACAAGTGTGAATGAAACAAAACACAACTCCATGCATGTTTTAAAGGGATTCAACAACATTCTAATATGACTTAAAGCTCAAAGGATAATTTAGTATAATGTCTAATCTTTACCTCGCCAAGGTTGATTTAAAATATGAACTCTTTACTAGGATATCAACCAAAATTAAAATGTATCTGATATGCTGTTTTAAATGTTTTCTCTCCTAGAATAAACGGACAAAGTTGTGTAGTTCTCAAATTGCCGGCCCAGTGGGTGACCTTGTGTCCTCCATCACCACGGTGACAGTATTTTCCTGGAAGGCGGTGTGTAAGCTCTCTGGACCTAATCAATTCACTAGCTTTAATTACATCAATAGGTTAATTGGGCGTACGCTAAAGAGTTGGCATTTTTGTCCTGAGCAGAATTGCTGTGTAATGTACACAGACTTCATGTTGACATTATGTTTTTGACATCAAGGGCAGTGGCCTTTGTTCAACATTATTTACAAAACACTACAGCAGAGGTGATTAATGGGCTTAAAATATAATACTTTATAATGGAGCTGTATTGAAAGTGCTAATTAAAGGCCATTTTATGAAAACAATGTATTAACATAATTATATTTACCATAAGACTTTACTAAAATCTTGCCTAGCTTCATCTTGACTGTCCATTTTAATAAAGAAGTATCATTTTATTTCTGGGTTGGACATGAGCAGCCGTGTCGTGTGTTTTTATATATTTAATATTTATTGTGATTTTAGCCAAGAGTGATGAATGAATTTACCTAATTGTTTATGGAACAAACCATTCTGCGCTGGAGCACTGTAACACTTTATTTTGTAATTGTGTTTTTATATGTGTTTATTGTATATAATGTGGATGAATGAAATGTGAAATGTGGGACCTGCCTCTCAAATTTACCTACAGGTACAAATAAAACAACCTAACCTAACCTAGTACTGTTTGACATATAAAAAATATAATATATAGCACTTTAATTTTGTATATTACCTTAACTTATTCCAACAAACATTCCTGTCTCACAATGCTGCAACAATAATGCGTGAGAGAAAATATATATTTACAGTTATTTTAAGTTAAAGGTGCACTGTGTAACTTTGCTGGTGGAGGGGCCGCCAGTTGCTTGCCTCTATGGACTGTTATTATTTACCTCCATAGAGACAAACATTTGATGCCAAGCCAGGTTACAGGTCAGGAAGAGTAGGAGTATTTTGGAAAAATAATATCACCTGTAATTGAATAAATGCACGATTGATACGTTTAATGCCATACTGTGGAACATTCCAAAGATAAAGCAGGCAATTTCTATGACAGCAAGCAGGTAGCAGAATTGAAAGTTACACAGTGAACCTTTAACACTGTATCGTTCCATAGTTTTTACAGTTAGTCCTCCTTCTCTGTTCCTGCAGGATTCTGCAGTTTCTCTGTTCTTGCTCCTTTCTGTGACATCCCTCACATCTTTTCCAAATTCATCTTTCTGCTTCCTGTCTGGCACCTTCTCTGAGCCCTATTTCCATCTCCTACATTTGATCCTGTCCCTTTGAGCCCCAAACCTTCATCCGGCGATTGTTTCTTCCTGTTGCTGGATTTATTCTCAGATGGAGCTGTTTCGCTGAGTTGTATTTTTGTAAGACACGTCTCACAATGGGACATTTCAGATGGAAAAAGGGCTCTGAGATTGTAACTTTTGCAGCAACTCAGATTTTCTGTTTATATTTTGGGGTCTATGCAGTGATTCTGTACTCTTTTATACCAAGTAACAAAGTAAGAAATATGGTAATACAACATTCTACCAAGAGCAAAATGGGAAGAACCAACTAAGTATTGTACCTGGATTAAGCTGGGATTAAACCTTTCAGATATTATTTTCTGATCTATGTTATAATGTTGTTTCCTCACCACAAACATACCTGTTGTTGTGTTTTGTTTCATGCTGACATGTTTAACACACAAATACTCCATATTTAGGCTTGGCAAGGTGGATTAGAAGTAAAATTTAGTAAAAACAAGAGATCTAACGATATCCAAATCTCACGGTACGATATTATCATGATATGAATCTCGTGGTATGATATATATTGTGATATTTTAAAGAAGCTAATATAATTGTATATAGCACACTTTTTTGCTTTTAAAATACCTTGACCAGATTTTGGTGTGAATTATTACTGTCATAATCCCAAAAAATTTTATAAAAAACCTATCTTTTCATGTTGTCTGCACTGAAATGAACCATGGGATATGTAGTTCTACTATAAAATCATGAATTTAAGCAAAGAAACTTGTGATTCCATATATTGTGACAGTTCACAATATTATTGTGGGACTTTTGATGATTTAATACGATCACGCTATTTCGGTTATTGTTACATTCCTAGTAAAAACTAAAAAAAATGGCCAAACTGGGAAAAAAAAAGTGTAAAATGTTTAGTTAAATATTAAATATAATGATGTTAACTGAGTTTTAGTAAAATGTGTAGTCCAACATGTTATAGGCACTTTATTGGATATTGCTTATTTATTGTTCTTCCTCTTGTCTGTTTTAATCACTGCGCGTTGAAGAACACAATTTGTTCTGTTTCTCTCACATGTTTGAATGACAAATAAAGAGCCTTGATATAATTATGAGGCTGTTTCTTTCTGTATTGTTTGTTGTTGCTCACCCAGAGAGATCTTCTCTCCCGAATCGGCCGGCAGCACAAATATGAGCAGAGTCATGGAGGAGAGGAGCACACAGGGGATGAGGAGGTTCAGGGCGTAGTACAGCGTCCTTCTCCGAATCGTGATCACAAACGTCACGTCTGGATATGGCTCCTTGCAGCAGTCATAGAACAGCTCATTTCTTGATCCCGGCACACCTGCACAGACAAAGAATGGATACTATGGATAACAGGTATTGATTTCAGTGAGAAGGATGAGGTATAAAAATAGGAATCCCATAACCAGGGGGTAGGCAGTTTGAATCTTGCCCAATTCCAGACTGTTTTTAGTTCATATACGAAGGGCCAGTGATGGGAAGAATACTTTAAAAATAAATTTAGTTGCAGAATACTGAATACCAGGATTAAAATGTATTTTGTAATGTATTCCAATACATGATCCAACCAGAGAGCTGTATTCTGAATATATAGAATGCTTTTACCTCAAGTCACATTTAAACTATAGTGTAAAAATGCAAAATATGATTGAAAACAGCAATATTTGTTTCGCTATTAAGCATTTCCTATCATTAGTTGGAAAAATCACACATGCACATGCTATAAGAGCGATGTTCAGTGCAGTTTGAAGCCTAAATTGTGAGATCAAGTACAGCGATGTATCCCTCATAATTTAGGAAGATCAGAATATAGTTACTCAAAATTTTCTAATAGCAACAGTAAAGAAACAGCAGAAAAGAAAAAAAGAAAACATTTATAGAAAAAAATGAGACGCATAAAACAAGTGGAATCGTATTATGTAATAAACACGCAGATACAAGCTGAACTAAACACATAAGATAACAGACTTCATTGAGGGACTTACCGATGAGGTCCCACTCCCCGTTGGGCATGTATCCTGAGATGTCTGCGTCGTTCATCTGAAGATCGAGGAGCCAACCGTCGTACGTCCAGGAGCCAAACTTCAGCTCGCACTTCTGAATGTCGAAGGGAAACCAGCGCACATCCACGTTACAGGTGCTCATGAAGATACCTGAAGGTCACAGAAAATATCCCATTAAAGGTGCACCGCATAACTTTCCTGCTTGTCTCCATGGAAATGCTATTGCTTAGCCTAGATTGTTCCATAATGACATTAAACATATCTATTTATTCATTACGGGTGTTTATATTGCTCAAAAATACAATAATTTCTTCTGTGAATGGGGAGACTCTCCACAGATCTGAATTGCGTAGTGCATTCTAGAGCAGATGGCGGAAGAATATTATGCATTCTTGAGAACAGAGTATTTTTGAGGTCTCAGAAAAGACGACTGTAGGAAAGAGTCAAGTAGTACAGTAAGTGATGAATGTGTTTCTTCTTAGCATCCATTTGTAGTCATTTATGTATTTAAAGGTTTTCTGATGGTGGATGTGACACTTGCATGGAGATGTTATTGCTTTGCCTGGCGTTTTGCACAGTACGGCATCAAACTGCTCTATAATATTTGCGTTCTTTCTGTGAATGGTGTCACCTCTCCACAGCTCTCACGTGTAACCTCGATAATGAATGAGATCAATGCCATACTGTGGAACATTTTAGGCAAAGAGACAACATCATATTCTTATAAGTTGGTGGCGTACCCTCCTCCAGAAAAAAGTTGTATAGTAGACCTTTAATTGGTAGAACTTAAACTACGGGTATAAGAAAAAACATTTTACAAATAGCTGTATTGATTGTTTTGTGACCTCCTCTTCAATCTTTAACAGCCTGTAAAGCAACGTTACTATAATGTGATTTTTGTCTTTTATATTCATGACTGTGACTCAAGTCCTGTGTTCAATACAAACCAGATACAACATAAAGGGTAGTAGTAGTGTTGACATTTAAAAAACGTGTAAAACAAATCAATTTATAAACAAGCAGAATCTGAAATTGAAAATAGGGTTTCATAGTCTCAGAGGACACTGCTCCATATTAAAACTTTGCTACAGGCGCCTCATTGGTATGTGGACAGATACAGCCATACACAGATTCATAATTCATGTCCCCACAAACTCCTCTGCACACTTTCAGTATCTTAAATTACAAGAGACTTCCTCTCAAACTTAAGGGGTCAAATAATTCACATTCAATTAAGCTTTCAGAATTTACCAAAAGGAAAAACTGCCTGAATATTAAGTGTAAATGTGACCTGGAAACATTGCATTAGAAAAATCAGCATAAGATTTCTTTAGCAGTGTCAGTGATGAAAAATTGAGGATATCTGCCCTATTTTATGATGTAAAAACAACAAAACCACTATTTTGCATTAATTAAATCTCATCTTTATTGCTCAAATATACCTTGGAAAACATGCATTCATACTGCGAACAGGATCACTTCTCCACTAATCTGTTCTTTGGCATGATGGTGTCACTTGATAATAAGTTTAATGCCATACTATGGAGTGTTTCAGGCAAAGCAATAAGATCTCCATGGAGACAAAGAAGTGGTACCAGAAAATTTATAGTGCGCCTTTAATTGAAGCTAAAAATGTACATGTAATTGTACTTTGTTGTACTGAAATATCTTTTTCTGAATAAATAAATAAATAATAGTAAAAATATAAAAAATTAGAAAACTTGCTTGGGACAAATCAGCTACATGTGGTAACTAATGACCATTTGTTCCACAATCTGTTTCTGAAACTTTATTCATTTTCTTTAGTTACGACAAAGCTGCTTAGCCTCTGTGATGCTTTTAAACTATGAATATTTGGATTGCTCAAAATGTCTGTGGGAAAAAATTGTGGAAAATGTACTTCAGGGACCAGAGAGGACTTCGAAGGTGCGACTGTAAAATTCAGACACCAAGCATATATAGGCTTGATTAATTCAGTTATATAAGTTGCATAAAATTAATTACGGAAAGCTCTTTTGTCTAATTTGAAGTTTTCATGAGTCACAAACACATGACTCTTACTGTATTGGAGCTTTGTGTTCTGCAGCAGACAGGAGCTGCTGTGAGCCTCCTCCACTCTCTCTGTTTATAGACTCAGAATAAACACTGACACAGAGAAATACGACTGTGCACACCGCCTGATCTGATTAGACCCTTTGTTATGCAAAATGAAACCACCAAAAAAGCGAGAACAGATTTAGACATAGTTCAGCTGCTGGAAAATGTGAAGAATTGCCGTGAAGGTGGCAAATTGAAGAGTGACTGGGTGCATTTAGAGAGGGCAGGTCTACAACAAAGCAAAGGTCCTGTTTTATAATGCAGAATATAAAGTCTTCTGCCAAGAAAAGGAGTGAAAACCCTATCGACTGCATCTTTCACTATTTTACTATTTTTAAAGGTCATATATTACGCAAAATGGATTCTTTTGAGCATAAAGCCATGTTATAATGTTGTTACCTCCTGAAAAACAAACCTGGAGCTGTATTTTGTTTCACTCACATGTTTCATCCTTTATTATTATTTGGATCAGGTAAATAAATAGACTTTATTATAATCCATGACTCCAAATGAAACGGTTTATCCACTTCCTGGTCGTGAAATGTCTCTGAGGGAAATAACTACAAATTTTGTGAATCGCTGGAGTTGCATTATGGAGATTACCTCGCTGTAATTACTGCTGTTTAAGGCTCTAGAGACTCTAAACCACAAATTTACTCTGATTAACTGCATCATGCTGCTTTAGTGCTGTGGACCAGAGGACTCAGTACACAAGGATTTTCAAGGGGTAAGTATTTAAAGGTGCACCATGTAATTTGTCCGGTTTACTTGTCTAGTGGTCGAGTTAGTGCAACTGATTACTTTAGAGTTGCATATATGGATGTGCTGTTACTTTAGCCTGATCAGCCAAGACGTCATGCTGGGGGTGTTCTACATTTATCTTATTGCCAGAAATGTTCAGAAGTTTCCATGGAGGCACAAAGCACACATGAGGAATAACTACAACACTATTTCAAGATCGTCTGAACACTCAAGAAGAAATATGGATTTAAACAGCACATTTTCAGAAGCCTGTGATCAGTACAAGCGTTCATGGTCCTGTTTGGGAGTTTGATATTCTAAAAAGGTGAGAGAGATTAAATGGAAAACAGTTGGCGAATGCAAGGTACCTTGTGACTGTAAGGTTATTTCGCTTGTTTTCAACTTGTTTAACAGCACAAAGCATCTCATCTGCCTCTGTTCGGCTAAATCAGTTTATTATGGTCAGAATGTGTCAAAATAAACCTCAGATTAAAGTCTACACAGCAAAAACTGGAGGGTTAAAATTTCAGGGTGAAATATTTCAGTTGTTTTGAGCACAAAAAGTTATTTTAAAAATGTGAAAGTTAAATGGGGGTTCAAGCTGAAGTTATTTGCAACAGTTGATATGGCTGAAGTTAATTCAACTTCCCCTAGTGTTAATTTAGCACCTCCCACCATGTCAAACTCCCACGAGAGACCAGTTTGAATCAGTTTTGTACATAATTTCATCTGAAATAAACTAAAATAAAGTGTAAAAATAAAACACCTCTGTGTGTTGTTTAGCTAAATCAGGATAACCCAACAAAGTATTATCCGTTTACTCTCAAAGTGTTAATATAACTCTTGATTTCGGGGCTAAACAAGAATTTTGGTCCAGTGTTACTTAAATAACATTTCCAAAAATGTTAAATTAACTCTAGAACATATAAACCCTGAGAAATTTATTCTGTGAGAGTCCATTTTAGCACTCCACTTTTTGCTGTGTAATTTGAGTAACAGAGCTTCAGACAAATTAGTGCTTTCAGTTAGCATCATACCTCAGAAAATGTTGTTGACATCAGCTGCAAATATCAATACTATTAGACATTAGACAGTCTGGGCCCAGTCTAATCTCCCAGAGGTCTGATGTGTGCGTGACTGACACTTGAATTAACCAATCAGAGAAAAGCATGGTCTAAACATACATGGAGGCTTACAAGGACAAAAATAAATACATTAATCCTGCTCACTTAAAGGTATTTGGATCAATAAAACAGCATGCAATGACATAAATGCAATAGATAGATAAAGTCATCTTTTGGAAAATTTTAGACAAAGCAATGATCCATGGATATGAGAAGATAGTGGACCCTTCATCAGAAAAGCCTCAAAGTGCACCTAACAACGTACAAATAAGGTACACAAAGAATTTGTTCAGATACTTGACAATACAAGAACAAACTGCCTTAGTGTCTATCAGAAGACTGTACTGCAGAGGGCTCATGTGGGCGTTCGGCTGGTGCTGCCAAAATAAAAAGGTCCAAGCTAATTTATGATAAAACATTTAATACCGATATTAGCAATAAAATGTACCTCTGACTGATTACTGGGGGTGCAGACTTACATTTCTTGTAAATTTCAAACTATGTAGATTAAATATTTACTACAGAGAAATACAAATGCTAATGTGATTAAGGCAATAAAGAACTGCAGAGTTATAGAGGTAGGTTTATATATTTCAATATTTATGTCAGTTTGTAGTAAAACTGCTTTGTGCTGCAGGTTTAAACAGTGACTTCTGTGTTTATTATTTTTAGCAGTGGAACATGACGAAGTAAAAGAAGTAAAAGTATTATTATTAGTAGTAGTATGGCACTTAAGTATAAATTTTATGCATCTGTGTTACGAACCAGTGCTAGGGACAAAGGAGTGTAACACAAACCAGATATGATGTAATATAAGTGGCTTTTATAAAGTAAATGTAAGTAAGTATAATAACAAAAAGAAGATTTACATAAGATATATCAAAAATTAATAATACAACTAAACAATACCTGTAATGGGATAAATAACTCAAAGAAAATACAAATGCCCAACGGCCGAGCCAAACTGGCATTTACAAACAAATAATAGGTCCTCTAGAGTCAGAATACACAATTTGTAGTAGCGCTGAGAGGCAACCAGAGACACGTCTATCAATGCAAGTGGCGAAGTGAAACTGAGATCCAGCCACGAGGAGGAACAGGCGCACAGCACTTATTGCACTTATTGGATGAGACAATGGGATGTGTAGGAAGGGGACTGGAGGAGCGTGACGTCAATCCTCCAACCAGGCACGACGAATATCTGAGTCAGCCCAACAGCGACGGGACCACACCCCACCAATCAGGCGCCAGGTACCACACAGCATATGCAAATACAGAAGGCACAAGCGGTAAAACAAACGGGGAGCGCCAGGCAAGGTGGAGCCAGGCCGCGAGCCGTAACAATCTGTACTTTACCATTAAGTGGATCCTTTTTACTTTGACTTCCCTACATTTGAGAGCAGGTATCTGTACTTTCTTACAACTACACTTTTTGAACAGAAATGAAAAGTAAAATACTGTTTTAATATAGTTTGACACCTGCTGAAAAGGTTAAGGATTTACTTTTTAATAAACTCATAATTTGAGGAAACAAAAACAGCAAGGAAAAAAATTATTCACTTGTTTCTATTACACAAGAAATACAAATGCAATACAGAACTAAAGAGTTATAGAGCTACACTTATATATTTCAATATTTATGTCAGTTTTAGTATAGCTGCTTTGTGCTGCAGGTTTAAACAGAAACTTCAGTGCTTTTTTTATTTTTAGCACTGGGAAGCAGCCTCTCCGCATTGCTCACAACAATCCCTAAATAAACATACATCATTTTTGACACTAGAACACCTATTAGAGGTTACAAATGCTGCCTTAAATCGCCTTCAATCCTTGTTTACATTCCCCTATAACAATCTATAACCCCTAAGCAGTGAATGAAAAGAGATGTCCGTATTACCATAGACAGCCAGCAGCTCTGAGTATTTCTGTTTGAATTATCGTCTCTGTGTCAAACTCCCCCAACTCAGCGGTCTCCACACTGTTCTGCTTTTTATTTACTGACAATAACAGGGCCTGCAAGCCACAGAAAGAACATAAAAAAATCCTTTCAATGCTAGGACTTTCTTCCAGTTTCTTATTTTTCTGTTCATTTATTCGCCGAACAGAACCCGCGATTTCAACAGTCTCTTTCGTCTTCTCTGTAATTGGCTTTTGTCCAGAGGCAGGCATCACACAGAACTGTATTTATGTCCACCGCAATCTCGCTAATAAACATGCTAGCTTAAAAGAATGGAAAGGCAGGCTTTGATAGGCATCGCAGGCCTTCATTTCAATTCATAGGTAAGACTTAGTTTGCATATTTTGCTTCAACCACAGAAACTTTTGTACTTTCTTTCACTGTGGAACTACAGAATCACAATCAAGAGAGATAGAGACAAACAGATACAGAATCACAATTATCGCAATGTGAATGAAGGAGAGAGAGATAAAGAGATGAGGAAAGAGATAGATAGATAGAGACAGATAGAGATAGATACAGAATCACAATCAATTTATCGCAATGTGAATCACAGAGAGAGCGACAGAGCGAAAGAGAGAGATGGGTGGATAGACAAAGATAGAAAAAGACAGATAGATAATTGATACAGAATCACAATCAATGTATCGCAGTGTGAGCAATCGAGAGAGAGAGATGGATAGATAGAGATGGATAAATAGATAGACAGAGATAGAGAGAGAGAGACAGATACAGAATCACAGTCAATTTATTGCGATATGTATGACAAAGAGAGAGAGATGGATAGACAGAGATAGAGAAAGAAAGACAGATAGATAGACACAGAATCACAATCAATTTATCATAACGTGAACACCAGAGAGGGAGAGATGGATAGACAGAGCCAGATAGAGAAAGATAGATACAGAATCACAATCAATTTATCGCAATGTGTACGACAAAGAGAGAGAGAGAGCGATGGATAGAAATAGAGAGAGACAGATAGATAGATACAGAATCACAATCAGTTTATTGTAATATGAACGACAGAGAGACAGATAGAAAGAGAAAGATAGAGATAGAGACAGACACAGAATCACAATCAATTTATCGCAATGTGAATGACAGAGAGAGAGAAAGAAAGAGAGAGAGAGATGGATAGATAGACAGAGATAGAGAGAGAGAGAGAGAGAGAGAGAGAGAGAGAGAGAGAGAGAGAGATACTTTATTGATCCCAGAGGAAATTCAGTCATTGCAAATTGCAAGTTTAGTCCTCATGTCCTCATTAATTTGTCAATCTTACGCCTGGTGATAGTTCTTATTAGAGCGGGGTAATATTCACACAAAGAAATATCACATTTATTTAATTTTTATTACTGAGTGGGTGACAATTTTAAGACAATGCCATGGCAATCCTACAGAAACGTTTAAAAATGGACCCAAAAACTTTGTGATTGAGGTCCAAGTTTCACAGCTGATACTGGCTGAGTTGGTCAATATATCGGGCCAATATTTTTACTTCTGAGCTACTTAGCTTTAACAGCTATTGACTATAAATCTCCAGTACAGGCTGATATTTTGTTTTGGTCAATCTGCTGCCAAATATATACACAAACCTTAAATTTAAAGGTTCACTTTGTAACTTTTCTGGGCTCATGGTCCGCCACCTGCTTGTCTCTATGTGATATTACTGTTTTGCGTTGATTATTCCACAGTATGGAAATAAACTGGGTAACCACAACGTAGATAGTTCAATGGTCAGATCTATGGAGAAGCAAGCCTGAACATGGTAGAATTCATGTTTTTTTTAAGTTCTAAAACACCTGTAATTAAACAAATGCAAGATATTGTATGTTGCAAGCAGTGGATCCTCCACCTCTAAAACTTAAATATGTTAAAACAAAGAGATAGCACAAAATGTGACTACACTGCCCTTTTACAGGTTTGGGTGAGTTTGTAGTAAATTTAAGTTACATATTTTGGGGAAAATAATCAAAATCAGCCCAACATATAGAACCAAAAATATTGGCAGAGCTTATAGGCCACCAGTTTCTCTGAATTCTAAACAATCCAAATCCTAAAAATCCCATATCGGTTCATCTCAGAGTATGTAGGAAGAGCTAATTCTCGCACTCTTCACTGCATGGGCTCTTCTACACTACATTAAATTACACTGCAGTACAAAATACATTCAAACATTAATAACCTAAAAATACATACATTTATACATATTCTAGTTACTTCACTACACTCAAACATCTCTTTAAAAAATCTGTACAGGTTTGGTATGTTTTGAGCCAAGACTTTTAACGTTTAACTCAGTCTTCTGCTTAATACTGTAGCTTTAAAGGGCCCTTATTACACTATTTTCTGATCTATGTTGTAGTGTTGTTTCCTCATCAAAAACATATCTGGTGTTGAGTTTTCTTTCTTTAACACGCACACAAATCCTGCACATTGTAGTTCTTCTCTTAAACAGAAAACACTCTGTTCCACCTTGTCATGTAGAGATACAGGACCTTTAATTTTCACAAACCTACATGCAGTCCTTCGTTTCCTCATATAAAGAGCTTGTGTACCACTAGAAGCCCCTGCCCCACAGTTTGAGAACCACAGCACTCAGACTAGTTCCACTCTTTGCTCACCTAAAGGGGGATTAAAGTTCATCCCCGTTGTAATCTGGCATCATGAAGAAAAAGACCGCTGCTTACAAAACCCATAGGACTCTTCAGGGGCTTACAAGGGGTTTAAGGAAAGGCAATACAGAAAAGAAGCAAGGAAATACTATTTATAGAGTATGAAGCTGTAGGGACTGGTGTTTGTTGTGATAAAATATTAAAAGCACAAACATAGAAAAGCATCTCTACGGGGACGGTGATAAGGGGGATGGAGAAGTATTTGGGACGTACCTGGAGGTAAGTACTCCGCGTATCCGCTGGAGTTGACCAGGATGTTTGTCTTAAAGGTGGAGTCGAAGTCGTCATCTGCACTGAGGAAAGACAGAGGAGAGAAAGGGCAGTGGGTTAAAGGGGCACTATGGAACATTTCAATCTTAGATTTAGACAATCTTAGACTATTTTGTCCACCTGATACATAAATAGAGCTTTGTTTATTTCTTATTCACTTTAGACATTTCAATCTAGTATTTATTTATTATGGGTGTTTCTATTGCTCAAAAATACAATAATTCCTTCTGTGAATAGGGGCGACTCTCCATAGATCTGAGTTGTAATGTGATGTAGTGCTCTAACCTGCTTGTCTCCCTCTTGATAGGCACCTTTAATCTATACTATGGAACATTCTAGAGAAAGCAATAACAGCAGGTGATGTCAATATACAGGTCAGACTGGTGGAGAGGAGACCAAAATAAGAGAAAAAATACATGCATGCAAAGTATTTTGGAGCACCTTCCATGCTAAAAGGATTTAGGCAATACATGTAAACACCAAAATAACAACTTAAAAGTGCACTATGTAGCTTTTTGGTTGGGAGTCTGTCATTTGCTTATATTGATGGATATGTCATTGCTCCACGTGAAATGTTCCACAGTATGACATTAAACAACACTGCCTTACATTTATTAAATTACAGATGGTTTTATTATCGTGAGCAGGTGTTAGGGTCTGTGCCTTTCCACAGATCTGACCTGTAACTTTGGTTTGGTCTCCATGAAGATAGAAAAGTTTAATACCATACTGTGAAATATTCCAGACAAAGCAATAACATATAGATGTAGAAAAGCATTTGATGAAAAAGTTACATAATGCACCTTTAAAATATGACTTTTTAAAATGTTAGATGTTAAGAAAAAATCGCAACAAATTAATACTGAGGATGAAAACAAAATACAGCATATAGCCTACAGGATAACTTTCCCGTTCTATACAAATTAATTAATCCTGAATCCCTAAATTTCAGTTGGACAGAATAACAAAAACATCACCCAGCCTGTACAGCATATTAATAATAGATGCTAATGAAATATTATTAGCAACATCTCTGAACAAAGCCGTAGCAACAGCCAGATAGATTGGGACTGTTTGAGTGCGGTTGCTATGCTGTCCGCCAACGGGGCTCACAAAACCCACACAGCTAACAGGTGATAACACTTAATTAGAAGATAATTAAAAGTTAGTTATGGTTGGGTTTTTAAGGTCCGTTATTTGCATGGATTAGTTATGGGCATGATTATTTGACTAATCGATAACTGATCATTAAGAATTTTATTTGGTCATGTTCATTTTTAATCAACAAGCTGAATGTAGGTTGCTGTGTGTAGTGTAAGGACACAAGACTGCGTCTGACAGCGCAAACACTGGAGTTGTGGTGTCAGAGTCCCACGTTTGAGCTCTGGCACCTTGGAGATGACTGTACCACTCAGTGAGTACATGCACATCAATGTCCTGGGTATGATTGGGTTTTTTGAGTAGCCTGGTTTCGTCATGGTGCATGTAAACACAGTATCCTGGTTACTGCAACATAAAGTTGAGTGCGCATGCGTCCAAAAGACAAACACTTTTCATTCTTTTCATCACAACAGTAGCCAAAATAAATAAAGTGACCAACATGAATAAAGTGAGTGAAATGACTGTTAAATTAAAAGCTGCACTAAGAGCAATGCTTATAGTTTATGCAAATTAGCTATGCAGTTTTAAGTTTCTGTAAAATGCAAACAAATGTGTCAAAGCTGCATTAAACACATTATAATCTCAAACGGGCTGATGTGGCTCTATAGTGGTTATGGTTTATATGTTGTAAAGTTGAGTTTATTTATGCAGATTAATAATAGTAATAATAATGATTATTATTTTAATATAAAAACATTAATGATTAATCGAAAATCAACTGTTAATTCTCCCAATGATCAATTAAGAAAATTTTATCAAATGCCCATCCCTAGTATGGATGATTAGATCTGGTTCGCTGATAAGATGGAACACAAACACAGTGGAGCACTTCCTGCATTATCTCATGACATCACAAGGTGGAACAGAGCGTTTTCCATTTGAGATCACATCCTAAACATGCAGGGTTAGTGTGTTAAAACTTGTGTGAAAGAAACAGAACACAACTCCATGTATGTTATTGATGAGGAAACAGCATTATAACATAGATAAGACTAGAAAAGCACTCAGAGAGCGCAGACCTCCGCCAAGGACTACCCCCATTTTTGATATGCGATAAAATCAGTCTTCTGGATCAGATCCGGTTCAGCCTTTGGAATATGAAAGAGGATCCCATTGTCCATCCCTGAGTCAAATTTCATGGGGTTTGGTCAATAATTAACCGAGATATTGAGAAACAAAATTTTTGGCCCCATTTACCACAATGTTAACTAAAATTTCAAAGTGATCCAGAATCCAGGATTTCTTCCAGATCACCCCCAAAATGAAATCAGTTCTTCCTTCTCACATTTCCAACAAATCCTGAAAATGTCATCAAAATCGGTCCATAACTTTTTGAGTTATGTTGCTAACAGACAAAAAAACAAACAAACAAACAAACAGACAAACGCCGGCAAAAACATAACCTCCTTGGCGGAGGTAAAAATACAAGAACTGATCTGCCTAACCCTTCACCAATATTATAACTAAATCACAATCCACTTTTTTAGAGGTGCAAATTGTGAGTGGGCATATTTTCTCTCATAACTTTGTAAAAGAAAAAAAAGTTAAAGTTAAATTATAGTTTCAGAAGTTAAATTAATGTAATATTCACTGATAATACATCTAATATCAACAACTGTTTGTAATTTAAGTTTGTGATATGTTTTATAAAATGAGCAAAAAGAAATGGAGCTGGCGTTCCTGCCTTCTGCTCGACAAAGAAGTTAATTAAAAAAGAAAATGAAAAGGACAGCACAATATGGCAACAATATTAAAACAGGCTTATCTTGTTCTTGTGATAAACAGCTGAGATAAACAGCTGTGTAACTTCATCATCTTCAATCAATAACTATTACTTTTCTTATAATTCACACTGTTACCAGATTGTGATAAAATAAAAAAATAAAAAAACTGAGTCTTCTCAAGAATGAGTCTTCTGAAAACATTTTCTTTCTTTGTGAAAAGGGTAGAAGAACATTCAGACTCTTTTACATATTGAGGTTTGCCTTACTGCTTTATATTCTTTCCTACAAATTACATTCTTTCCTTGCAAATAGGTTTTCGGCCATTTTGTATTCAGTGTTAAGAGGGTTAGACAAAAATAATTGTCATACTTCACCCTAAACCCCTTCAGTCTGTAGAATAATTTAGGTGTTATGTGTTATTTTGGTTTTATTCATGAATATGTCACCTGACCAAAGAAAATAATAAAAAAAAAACTATAACTATAAAAATAAGCATTTAAAAGAGCCATATAAAACTTTTAACACTTGACTATTCAAGTATTTCAAATGTTGTTGATTTGTTAAAATATAGTGATACTGATTAAAAAGTATACAGATTTTGGCTAACAGTATTAATATGAATCTTTTTTTTTTTTCTAATGAATTTTGTGTACCGGTAATTATTTTTGTTTGCTCAATGCCCAAGCTTGAACTCCAAAACTTAAATGACCACGAACATGGTAAAATAACCTCTAAAATCAAATGAAAAGTATTTCTACTTTTCAGTCCTGTTCTAAAATGTAGTGGAGTAGAAAGATACCTGCTCACAAATGTAGTAAAGTAAAAGTAAAAAGTATCCACTGTAAAATGCACTTAAGTAAAGTACAGATAGATACCTCAGAATTCTACTTAAGTACAGAACTTTACTATTTTATTGCCTTCCACCACTGTCCCAATATAATACAACAGGCTTGTGAGTTTTACCTGTTGTAAAGCAGGATGTCCGGTGTCCATATTTGGTCGTGTGAAAATCGCAGGTTTTTGACGCCTGGGTGCTCCGTTTGGTTCCACTGAAGATAATGATCGTACCAACTCTGAAAATCACAACAAAATGCCATTTGGATTTATAAATTATCTGTTCAGTTCAAGGTTGGAGCAGTATATAAAAATAGTATCATATTCACCCTCAAAAGTTTCTGGTGAATTTGGGGTAATGTACAAAATGCTGGTTTACAATGTGCAAATTTTGAGAGATTGTTATATTGAAAAGTCATTATTTTTGTGAATTCTGTGCTCAACTATGGGCACAATGTTGTCTTGACAGGCACTTTTAACCTATTACAGTAAAGTATGCAAACCTAAAGAAAAGAAAATAGTTTATAATAGGGATGTAACGATATCCAAATCTCACGGTACTATGTTTTCACGATATATTACGAATATTTTTTGCAATATTTTGTGGAGGCTAACAAAATTGTGACTATGCTACTTTTTCCTCTTAAAATGCCTTGACAAGACTTAATTCAAAGAACTAAGATTTGAAACTGCTTAGAACTGCTATTTCTTCATGTTGTTAGCACCAAAATAGAGCAAAGGATCATGGTTGATGTAGTTCCCTCTGTTTTTGTTTTGTTTTTTTTAGCTATTGCTGCACCATAACAATGAAACTTGTAATTTGATATATTGTGATATTATTGAGAGACTTTTGACGATACGGTATCACGATATTTCGGTTATTATTACACTCCTAGTTTATAACTAATTAAGTTAACTTTGTATGACATTTTACATATTGTGATTAAAATAAAACTACTGAAATAGAACTAATGGCGCTTTTCAGATTCTAAAATGTGGCTCATATTACACTATTCTCTGATCTGTTATAAAGTTGTTTCCTCATCACAAACATACCTGGAGTTGTGTTTTGTTTCATTCACACATGTTTAACACACAAACCCTGTATATTTAGGCTGAGTTCTTCTCTCAAACTGAAAACACACCACCTCGTTCCACCTCATGATGTCACATGGTAAGAAAGTGTTCCACTGTATTTTTAAACTCTATACACCACTAGAATTATTTAGATTTTTGCCAATCTCTCCTGAACTAAAGATAAAAGTTAGCTGTAAACATGAAATCTACCACTACATGACATCACAAGGTGGAACAGAGCATTATGAGCTTAGGGTTACTCAAGCATGTGGGAATGAAACAAAACACAACTCCAGGAATGTTTTTGAAGAGAACAAGTTATAACATGGCTTAAAGCTCGCAAGAGTCAATTCTGTGTAATATAGGATCTTTAAATCACAAATATAAATATGATCTCATTTCTGATTGACTACAACACCCCAAGTCATTATACAAAAACCTGCATTTTAACAATATTATATATAATTTTAACTTTTTGCAAAAACTGAACTGGTATAAATAAACTAACCCCTATAGATCAGTCACTAAATGGGATTTGCAGCTTTATTCCTGTAACATTTTACCATGGCATTTAGAGCGAACAGGTCGTGGGCTTCTATAGTGCTTTGAGAGCAGTTCCTATTGAAAACTGCTTTTGCTTTGACCGTGTTATTTGCCCCATTCATTACAAACTAAAGGCACTTGAGGTTCTAGAGGCTCTTACCATTCTCAGCCACATGTTGGAGGTCAGCACTTGGTTCTTCTCATCCTGAAAAATATAATAACACGACTGAATAGAAATAAGTTATATAAATGAATTCATTTAGCTTAATACTGAAGAACCATTGCTCATATGCATTTAAAGTAAAAAAAAAAACATCAAAGGGCATACATCAGATAATCAATGAATACATTTTCATTAGATTGTGAAAAGCCTGTGAAAATCAGATTACACAGATTAATTTACAGTGAGACAGCGTGAGAACATCTTGATAAGATAAATCTATTACCTACAGCCAGGCAAAAGTGTGTTTCATCAAAAATGTAACATTTTATTTTGATGTAATTACCTCCGCCAAGGAGGTTATGTTTTTGCCGGCGTTTGTCTGTTTGTTTGTTTGTTTGTTTGTTTGTCTGTTTAGCAACATAACTCAAAAAGTTATGGACCGATTTTGATGAAATTTTCAGGATTTGTTGGAAATGTGAAAAGGAAGAACTGATTTCATTTTGGGGGTGATCCGGAAGAAATCCTGGATTCTGGATCACTTTGAAATTTTAGTTAACATTGTGGTAAATGGGGCCAAAAATTTTGTTTCTCAATATCTCGGTTAATTATTGACCAAACCCCATGAAATTTGACTCAGGGATGGACAATGGGATCCTCTTTCATATTCCAAAGGCTGATCCGGATCTGATCCAGAAGACTGATTTTAACGCAATTTATATAAAAAATGGGGGTAGTCCTTGGCGGAGGTCTGTGCTCTCTGAGTGCTTTTCTAGTGTTGTAAAAGGCTCTATAAATAACATTTGAACTGATTGATTGCTGATGTCACATTCATGAAGTCAATGTATCATTAACTCCATGACTAATACAATTTAGTTTTGTTTATTTATTTAATGAGACAGGGACAGTGCACAATATACATTAATCTTCAGAAGAGAGATGCACTGTACCAGGTTTTAGCACCAATGCTAATTTCCACTTGTCATCCCTGGGCAGGTTGATGTTCTAGTTCATAAAATCAAATATACAAAGAGAATGTCTTTATAATGACCGGATCATAACAATTCTGTAACATCATTCACACCCAGTTCTCTCAGCATCTTAAAATCATCATCCTTATCAAATACATAATTCAATTCACATCACACTCTCTCCAGACACTCATTAGTCCACATTATAGGTGCAGGTTTGGTTTGAAAGGAGCCACTGTTTCTCCAGGCATGACAATGCTCCATAGTTTAATTCCTATCTGATATTTTGATACCTTATGTGTTGATTCTGTATAAAAAAACAAATTGCTGCATTAACATAGCAGAATAATTTTTTGTGACTTATCAACTTTCCTAGCCCAAATCCCAAATCATATTAATCATCAATGGTAATAAAGTACACAACTAAAAGTACAATTTAAGTAAATTTTACAGTGGACACTTTCTACTTTTACTTCAGTACATTTGAGAGCATGTATCTGTACTTTCTACTCCACTACATTTTAGATCTGGACTGAAAAAATTTTAGCACATTTTATTTGAGTTAGCATCCCAAATTTGAGCAAACCAAATACAAGAAAACACTGATCAGCTAGAAAATTTAAGAAATCAATTGAATCACTTAAAATAGTTTTCTTTAAAATCACTACATTTCATTCTATAACTGTTCTAAAAATGTCTGCAAAATACTTTTTATTTTTACCCTTAAAGTACATTTTTAAACAGGTACTTTGATACTTTTACTTAAGTAGATTTTTTCATGTGATACTTTTACTTGAGTAACTTTTTAGCCCTGTATCTGTACTTTTACTTAAGTAACAAAATGGAGCACATCATCCACCACAGTAACCCATGAAATAGTCTTATTGGCTTGTGTCTAATGTAACGCTATCTCTAAAGACATAAATTAAATGTGCGCTCTGTGACATTGGCTGAGTCAGAAAGAACATCTTAAACTATAATTTTATGGTTAGCTCATATATTTTTTATGCATCATTTATTTTGTTTTATCTTCTGAGCCTCAAAAGTCCTGCCTCTGTTTGTCCCTATGAGACTAGTTAAAAGTACGCAGAAAACCCCCGAAGAACTCTTTTATAAAATACATCAGTAAGATTCCTATAACAAAGCTTTTTTTTTTGTTTACGTTGTTTGGTATAAAAGTCAGTCTGTGTCCCAATTCCCAAACAAAATCTTTTCAAATGTTTTATGAGCCACAAACTCAAACTTTAGGGGATCAATAAAACATTATCTATCTAACTACAGTGGGATATTATTTCATGTTTTTCTGTTAGTGCCAGCATGGGGCAGAACTCAACAAGTAATGCTACAGTATGCAGCTTAATATATCGAGAGAGAACCCTTTCCAGACATGGAAAATGACACTAAACAGCGACTTTAGAAACTATTAGAATTAACTAACTATAAATAAAACATTGATTCTGAACAAAGTAGGACCCATGCTGTAATACTGCATATGACAACGACAACAAAATACTGAATTCAAAGAGAATACATCTGGTGTACACAAAGTAAATTTGGGAGTTTTATAAATGTGGCAATCGTACCACTGCCCTCATGTCATTTTTCATTCTAAAGGACCTATATTACACAAAATGTATTCTTGTGAACTTTTAGGCATGTTATAATGCTGTTAACTCCTCAAAAACATACTTGGAGTTGTGTTTTGTTTCATTCAAACGTTTGAGAAACCCGTTATTAATAGTCTGTCTGTAACGCCAAAGTTCAAAATGCTCTGTTCCACCTTCCAAGTTTTCAAGTTAACAGCTACCTCTTATCTTTTCTTCAGTAGAGACAGGCAATTCCAGGACTAAAATCATCCAAATGATTCTAGTGAAGGTGTATGGAGCTTAAAAACACAGTGGAGGATTTCCTGCATTACCACATGACATCACAATGCGGCACAAAATCTTTTCTGTTTGAGAGAAGACCTCAAGAGCCCAAAATATGCAGGATTTGTGTTAAACATATATGAATGAGACAAAACAACAAAACACAACTCCAGGTATGTTTTTGAGGAGGAAACAACATTATACAAAAAATAGTGTAATATGAGTCATTCAATACACAAATGTTGAGTATTGATGCACTGATTTTTAACCAAGTTGGGGGCACTTTCTAGAGGACCTTGAAAACAATATAATGACATAAATGTATATGATATGTCATGGTAAATCGCTTTTTGGAGTCAGTTTATTGTGGTTTGGGAATAAGAAGTTTTATATACTATGACTGTGAAACATTTAATAAAGGCAGTTATATTTTGATTTGATGTCCTTGTGTCATTTGGCAAAGCACTCCTTAACTTCTGCAGTCTGATGTACTTAATGTAATGAGTGATCAGTGTAATTGGTTTTAGAGCTTATCTGTTACGTTTATATTCGTGGCCAACCTTTAAGAGAGCTGTGTAATTATGTTTTGGGCAATTATTTCTTCACATTAAAATGTTAAAAATGCTTTGTGTGTCCTCTTTGTTTAGGCTGCAGGTCAGCCAAAGCTAAATATTGTAAAGTTGATAGCCGATTCACTAAAAAGTGCCAATATCGGTCTGTCTCTAAAACTTTACATCACGTTGGGGGTTTCTGCATGTATCTGGATCTGATGGAATGTTCAAATGTTCAGCAGTTACCATGGTGACACAATGCACACATTAGCAAACACTGTCAAAAAAATATTATTATCATTTTCAGGAGCCTATGAATATTGTAAGATATGTGGCCTGGTCCTGTACTCACCACATCCATGATCTGAATGAGGCTGAGGGAGAAGACCACGGTGAGGGGGTGGGAGTCATTGCCCACTGGACGCTCCATCCTGTTATAGTCCTTTAAGAGGTTCTTCAGGAGGCTCCTCTGGTGTGGGCCCTGCTCCGAAACTGAACGAGGGAGAGGGTGGGAGGGGGAGAGAGAGTTTAAATTTAAAATGGAGATCAGCCACAAATCAATAGAAGACATTTGTTCAGTCCATTACACTTGTGAGAGGCAAGAGGGACAATGTTACTGAGGTGAAGGAGGTTGAATTTAAAAGGAAGTGTGATATAATTAAGTACATATTTTCACCAGATCAGAGGGTTAGTGGTTTATATATGCAGAGAATGAAACTATGTTATTATAATAATGTTAGATTAATGTGGAATAAACTGATAAAATAAAATAAGCTTGACGAATTTCATTGTATGTTGGATTTCAGTAAAAAGTGTCACAAGTTCTTATGCACTTTTCATAAGAATCAGCCTATAACAATGATTAATCATTGACCGATGAATCCTGACTGCACCTACTCTGCACATAATGATTCATGGTAAATAGTCACATTTTTCTTTAGCACTTTTCCACCTTCAAGGCACTCAAAGCACTTTACATCAAGGAGCCACCCATTCACACACACATTCATACACCAGTGTACACAGACACTGGGGACGAGGTGGGTTAAGTGTCTTGCTCAAGGACACAACAACAGCATTCATCTGTGGGAGCTGGAATTCCACTGTCAACCTGTGAGTCAATGGATCAAACCAACAACCAAGAGTCCAGGGAAATAACACATGGTCTCATTCTGAACAGTGATTTTCAAAAGATGGGTCAAGCCAATGAGGATCACTGGTTTCATAGGTGTACAGTAAGTATACTGTAACATTTCTGGTGCAGGATCCATCACCTGCTTGTTTCCATGGAGATGTTATATGGCCAAGTTACAGGTCAAATGTATGGATCTATCTATCTGTTTATATTCTTTTTAGAAATATAAAAAGCTGTAATTATATAAATGTAAAATAGATACTGTGGAACTTTCAAGGCAAAGCAATAATATCTCCATTGAGACAAACGGACCATCCACCTGGAAATATACATAGTCTTGTTAAAAATAGAGATTCACAAATCAAACAACAGATTTAAAATACATCTTCAATAATTTAAAAAACGTGGGAGTGACACTGGTAGCCTGATTCATTAGTCGGTTTCACTTCGTGGAAACCGTCTGACCTCGCAGCGTTAGAGTTTGTTTGCTCAACGGTAGGCAGGCACTTTTTTATTTAAACAATCACTGCTATTTGGTTGTGACATATGTAATGCACTGCCAAAGGGGCTAACTGGTATATTAAGCCTTTCCCAAATCACGTAGAAGGGCAATAAAGTCTTTCCCCTTGATAAAATTCACCAAACATTCTCTTTGTTCCAGGTTTAAATCCTCAATCTTGGGAATCGTTGGCAACACAGAATGTATGGCTCTTCGCTGATTGAATGGTGCCTGGTCTTGCACTTCTGACGTTCTTGCAAACCGTCTAGTGTATTCTGATTCATGACCTAGTCCCTGGAGAGAAATGAAAGTGAGCGGAGGCACTAGGTGGCGCCAGCCTGGCTATGAAACTGGGCCCCTTAGCGCTCACTGGTCTATTCTCTGAGGTGAGATACTGCCAGCTTCTACAGCCAATACAGGCAAAGCTTTATAACACATACGCACATACACACTTTCACATGTTTATAAATTACCATATCATCCCTTTAATCTCATCCAATTAACATGAAGCCCACAGAAGTGACTGATGAAATTAGATGCAATAAAGTCCAATCTTTCTCAGTCCATTTTAAGGTCAAGGTTAAGAGCTGAGCTCTGCCCTGTACTAAACCTGAAATATTAGCATTCAGGACCTCAACTAGTATTGACGAATGGTAGTAAAAATGTGAGAGAGCAGGCGCGGTGCTAGGTAAACAGAATCTAATTAGAAAAAGTGGAAGTCTTATCAGGACATAATTGGAGTTAATGAATCTGTAATAAGCTTATTAGAAGGCTCAAGGGTAATACACACAAGACACTGAAGCATTGTGTTTATAGATTCAAAATAATACAACTGGATACTACTGTGGAGACAAGCAGCCAAATCGGATCATTATAGTATTTCTAGAGTAGACAGAAATGAAATGTTAAAGGTGCACTGTGCAACCTTTCTGGTGGAGGGTGTGCTACCTGATTTTCTCCTTGAATATATTGCTTTTCCTGGAATGTTCCATGACATGATATTAAACACATCCATCTAGTATTTATTCTTTACAGGTCTTTTATTGCTCAAAAATACAATAATTCCTCCAGTGAATAGGGGTGTCTTAGTCTGATTCATCAGCCGGTTTCACTTTGTGGAAACCGTCTGACCTCGCAGCATTAGGATTCATTCGCTTGATGGTAGGCGGGTACTTTTTTATTTAACCAATCGCTGCTATTTGGTCGTGACATATGTATGGCGCCGCTTTCCCAAATCCCGTAGGAAGAAGGGCAATAACATTTTTCCCCTTGATAAAATTCACCAAACATTCTCTTTGTCTCTGGAGAGAAATGAAATTGAGCGGAGACACTAGGTGGCACCAGGCTGGCTAGGGGCGACTCTCCACAGATCTGAACTGTAATGTTGCATAGTGCTGTAACCTGCGTGTCTCCATTGTGATAGACAGGTTTAGTCTATATTGTGGAACATTCTTGACAAAGCAATAGCATTTCCATGGAGAAGCAGGTGGCGGACCCTTTACTGCAAATGTTACACAGTGCACCTTTACCAGTAAAATCTAATGGGAGTAATCTGATTTATTTCTGACTGTTGACACCAGAGCATGTGTTAACAACAGAAAGCAGAAAGGCAAAGTAATATAGCAAACATCAAGAATAAAAACAAACATAAATATTTGGAAGTGTTTAGAAGAAGCTACAATATATTCTCTCTGAAAAATACCACCATTTTTGCTATAGATCCTGACTGTATGACCAAAGGACTACGCAAACAAGAGTGAAAATTAGTTCAAGTTATTATATACTAATTTTACTTTGACTTCCAAAACCACTGATACTCTAAAAATCAATCAATGAACTGACACGTGCATGTATGGATCGGCATCATGTGATTCTTGATTCTTGGTTAGAGACATTCTTGGTCGACTAAAGATTAGGGCTGGGAATAATGGGGTCCCTCACAATTCGATACAATACACGATACATGGTTCATGATATGATATTATCATGATATGGCAATAATCGATATATTGCACTGATACTCAGTGATATGTTGCTGTTTTTTAAGAACCAAATACATTTTAGCAACAGTATTTCTTTGTTAAATGACTATCTGTGCAAAGTTAATAGGAAATGCATTTATTTTAATCATAAAAACAGTAAATGTGTGAAGTGTATTTCATAAAAAAGACTTTATAAAGATACCAAAAAATACTCCTGGCAATATACTGATACAGCAGCTCACAATAATGATACTGTATTAAATTTAGTATCAAGATATATCGACTGACTAAGACGAGGAATGCACAGATCTGATACTGGTATTTAATTTTCACTAGGAAAATTTGCTGGATCAGATATCGTCTTCCAAATATCGGCACAGCAGATATCCTGGTGTAATAAGACTATTTCTTGGTCGTACTTGGCCCAGAAAATCTTAATGTTTGAACTTGTATTTGTATAAAGATGTAAATTTTGTAAATAAATAACAGTTATATAACACATTTGGATCAGTTTTGTCTTATTGTATTCTTGTATTAAGAAAATAAATGCTGATTTCAATTCTGGTATTCAGATATTTACATTAAAGCTTTAGTATTGAAACCATTATCAAAACTGAAAAATCAGTTGTTACAACATCACTGACCAATAAAAAACAAAACAAATAAAGGTGTACAGCCCTACGTAACACACTAATAATCAGATTTAGATGTTGGGTTATCTGATTACTAATCTCAGTTTCCTGAGATGTTTTAGTTGTGCTTGTGAGTGTAAGACTTTTTAGCATTTGAAAGAAAGTGAGCAAGCTACAAGGACAGCAGCGTAGCTCTGATTTTCTGAAAAACATTTTTAAGGTTTCACAAAGGATAAAATTAAACTTGGCAAATTACAAAGCAAAAACCTGAGTCATATTTTCTTCCACACTGGAGAGACATTTCTGAGTTGACGTGTCCTGAATTTCAAAATTTTTTCTTTTATTTGAAATGACAAAAAAGAGGATATACAGTAGTAGAGAGGGTCTTTTGTCCCTTAATTTGACCTGGCAGAGGATTTCTTTACGCTACACATCGTTCAATTACCTAAAACGTGATGAGCTGAAATCCCTGAGAAGCCATCATACAGACAGAGATCTATATTCAATGATACCCCTGGGACCACGAGGATGCAACCCCCCCTTCAGAGGCTGTGGAGAATATAATGCAAAGAGACCTCCAGCTCACACAAAACAAAAGAGCAAAACCACAAAGCAAATGAATAGCTATTTGATATATTTATATATATATAGAACAGTAATGGGAAGAATACTTTGAAAATCTAGTTAGAGAATACTGAATGCCTTCATTAAAATGTTTTGTAACGTATTCTGATACATGGTCCAGTCAGAGTACTGCATTCTGAACTGGACTGAAGACAGTTACTTCACCAACACTGCCAATAAGAAAAATATACGGATTTTAACATGAGTTGCATAGATGAAATTCCTGTTAAAAATAGGTAGATCACTGCACAGTCTTTTGACAGTCAATTTAATTTTGGTTTTGCTATGAGTTAAAAAGTACAGAGAATATTTAATTGCAAAAAAGATTATTCATAATATCCAACCTAGTACAATATAGTTGTTTAATTTGTGAATGAGTTCATTTTTAATCAAATCAAGTTTCAACTGTCAGTAAAATGTGGTCTGGAGCAGCAGAGGTCTAACCTTGCACAGCAAGATGGATTCTCGCAATTTTTGTGAGTTCACAAACTGGTGAGACTCCATCTTGAGGTGCTCCCGCTGTACAGTTTAAATTTGACCTGAGCAGTGGTCAGCCCAATCACAGGGCTTCTATGCACACAGGGAGGTGTTTCAGGCAACATGACGACAACCTCAAGCACCAGGCCTGCATGGAGCAAAACAAACATGGCGGCGCTGGCGGACGGTGGTTTATAATGCCCTTAATGCGCATATTTGTATCGTAAAAACGTCTAAATTCGTTTATGAACATCTTCCCTTCCAGCGCAACAGTTATTTTGGTTTTACCTGGCACAAGTTGGATACGTTATGTTGACAGTTTTGCCATGACTGACTAAAAAGAAACTGGTGGGTGGGCACTTCGGGGTGGTTCGCTTAATCAGCTCGAGGCATTCTGCAGCAAGTCCCTCCTTTTTCTCAGCGAGAGCAGTTCCACATGGATAAAGTATAGAACTCAATTCAGAGTGAAAAACATATCAATCTGGTGAAAACCAGGTTAGCAGAGTTCAAACTTTGGAGGGATGAATTTCACTGTTTTATGTGTAAAATGGCACTGATTAAGTCGGTTTTGTCTTTGTACTCAGCATCATCATGTGGTGATGAGTACAAAGGCAATTAAAGATGAATCACCAGTCCTTAATCCAAAAGTTGCCAATTATCTCTATCAACTTCATTCAAACAGATTTCTAATATTTAGCTATCCAAATTAAGACCCTACAATAAATGAAATGACTATGAAATGAGTCAAGACTGTGACTAAAGCTGGGTATAATGAAAAGGTGCAGTCAGATCTTCACTATTGACTGACTCATGCTGTTTTACCAGAAGCCTCTGTTACTGTGGACTGGACTGAAATGAAAAGGTCTCTAAAGCAAATGGAAAATGGTGCTTTTAGACCATTCCCAAAACCACTGTAGTATACTAGATTGATTGACTATAATATTTTAATTGACTGCTCATTCACTCACTTCATAATTAATTCAAACTCGTCCTTAGCCATTTTTTACAATGAAATGGCCAGAGATTTTTATTGGACAGTTTATTTAACAATCTCAAGATCATTTCTGTGCTGAATTACTACATCACTAGTAGCTAACTGTATGATTGTATCTACATATTAGTACAGAAGATGGGGTGTAGTAGTGTATAGTTAATAATTTGCATTGTATTTAGTGCATTAGTATTAAAATCACTTAAAGGTGCATTGTGTATTTTTTCTGGTATGGTGGAATGCTTCACAGTATGGTATTAACCACTTTCTATCTTCATTGAGACCAATCCAGACCAAGTTATAGATCAGATCTTTGGAAGGCAACCCCACTCACAGATAGAATTCCTGTTTTTCTAGGTTTTTTTGAGCCATAAAACCATCTGTAATTTAACAAGTGTAAAGAAGAGCTCTTTAATGTCATACAGTGGAACATTCCAGGCAGAGCAATGACATACAGTATCTATAGAAACAAGCAGGTGATGGATCCCCAATAAAAAAGTTACACAGTGCACCTTTAATTCCGCACCTACATGGGAAACTATTTGTTTAGTATTAATAATTTTGTCAATAACACTAAACCCGTTGAGAAATCCGTACACAAGCTTTAGTGGACCACAATCTATCACAATATGCTTTTCTGTGAGCTCAAAAAACAACAAGGGAAATTATCATACTCCTTTAGGGATCAACCAGATATTTAGACTTAAACTTAATTTCTCAGTTTGCATGGCTTCTTTGGGCTTTAATTCGAGTTTAGAACATGCTTTGGTTGAGGTTTTTGCCTCATTGAGATGTCATTTCTAATAGTCAATGATCAGTAGCTTTGGGTCTTTTTAAAGGTGCATTATGTAACTTTTCTGGTGGAGGGTCCGTCAAACGCTTTTCTCAAAACGCTATTGCTTTGTCTAGAATGTTTCATACTATGGCATTAAACCTTTCTATCTTAATGGAGACCAAACCAGACCAGAATGCCTGTTTTTGTAGGTATTTTTGAGCTATAAAACCACCTGTATTTGAATAAATGTAAAGTAGAGCTGTTTAATGTCATACTGTGGAACATTCCAGGCAAAGCAATGACATATCCACAGAAAAAAGGATGTGATGAACCCCCACCAGAAAAGTTACACAATGCACCTTTAATCACAAGGTCTACAGCCAGTCTTCTGTAAGTAAAAGTATGTGGTTTGGAGCAGAGTTCAGACTTTAAAAGAAGAAATTAGACTATGTTTTGTTTTAAATGTCAAATTTTAAAGGTCAGTATTGTTTATGTTCAGTCAATTAATATAAAAAATAATGATCTATCAACATAAGGGAAAACAATATGTGATTATTTTTTCCTATATGTCCAGCCCTATCTATATTAGTCCTGATTTTGAACTCACTCTAAATGACAAACAAATTTCAGACATTGCTTTTTGATGAGACCTAACCTAAACCTTTGCCTCTTTGAATTCCTTTGTATTTCTTAACTCAAACCAAAAGGATTCCTTCACTTCTGTGTCTAATCCAATTGCAATTTTCGGTCAGGTTTTTGCTCTCCTCTTTTCCCAAACGGAGAATCATCATCGTTGGCCACTGCATCGCGTCTACTCAGCAGCACATGCCACACAAGACGAAACACAGCGGGAGGCAAGATGGAAGAGCCAATCCATACCGGCCAGCTATCCCAGTGATCTACGAGCTTTCCGAGTAGATTTGCCTGCCGCTATAGTGCAAAAAATTACAAAAAGACTTTAAATTAACAACGGAGATTTGGAATCAAAGAACTGCAGATTTGTAGTTTTACTCAGAGCTGTAAACGCCACTCAATCGTAAACAAAACGCAACCAAAGCAACAATTATCCTATATAAGCAAACAGGTGAAATCTCTAGTACTTTAACGCTACTTTTCTAACCAGCAAATGATAAATACTTTGTCAAATTAAGATAAAATAAGATGGGGATTCAGTTCAGTCCACTCTTTGAATGCAAAACTGCCGCTGCTGCAATATTGAAAATGAGAAACGCTTTCCCAGCTCACCGTTGATGAGAGCGGAGAGGAGCAGAGCAACGGAGCGCCACATCGTCAGGAAAAAAGCAAAAAGGATGTAGGGAGCAAGCTAGGAATCCAAAAAAAATAGGAAGGGAGGAATTAGGAAAGTGTAAAGGAAAAAGGTTCAGGGAGGAGGATAGTGAGGAAGCCACTGGAAATCCTCCGCTCGGCAACTGAATGGCATCGGAGGAAGGCAGCGTGAATGAAAAGCAAGGGGAGAATATGAGGAGAGAGAGAGGAGAGAGAGAGAGAGAGAGAGAGAGAGAGAGAGAGAGAGGAGAGGAGAGGAGGGAGGTAGCGGGGTCCTGGATGCTACAGAGGTGGGACTGAAATGATGAAGCAGATATATATGACAAAAAATAGAGGATAGATGCAGGTTAGAGCCTTATACAAGAGGGATGAAAAGAGAGGAGGGTAATAGACCTGAAGGAGAGTGAGACTGCATTTACATTTGTCCTGATTTCATCCTGGTTTAGTCCTGGTTTGGTGCTGGTTTGGTCCTGGTTTGATCCTGGTTTGATCCTGGTTTGATCCTGGTTTGATCCTGGTTTGATCCTGGTTTAGTCCTAGTTTGGTCCTGATTTAGTCCTGCTGTAATCCTGGTGTAGTCTTGGTTTAGTCCAGGTTTGGTCCTGGTTTGATACTGGTTTGGTCCTGGTTTGATCCAGGTTTAGTCCAGGTTTGGTCCTGGTTTGGCCATGGTTTGGTCATGGTTTGGTCCTAGTATAGTCCTGGTTTAGTCCTGGTGTAATCCTGGTGTAATCCTGGTTTAGTCCTGGTTTAGTCCTGGTGTAATCCTGGTTTGGGTCTGGTGTAATCCTGGTTTAGTCCTGGTGTAATCCTGGTTTGGTCTTGGTTTAATTCTGGTTTAGACGTGGTTTAGTCCTGGTTTAGTCCTGATGTTTGCTCCTGGTTTAGTCCTGGTTTGTTCCAGGTTTAGTCCTGGTTTGGTCGTGGTTTAGTCCTGGTTTAATCCTGGTTTAATCCTGGTTAGTCCTGGTTCAGTCCTGGTTTAAACTTGACGATTTCTGTCTTTTAACATCAAACTCTTCTCACCATCTGCAGTCTGTAATTACATTCAAATTCAATACAGAAACAATATTAAACAGTAAATTAACTGCTAAGGTCTGTGGAGAAGCGAGCATGGAGTAAGAATTCATGTTTTTATGCAAAGAGATAACATCTCTAAGAAGACACGCAAATACCGAACTCTCCACCAAGAAGTTACACAGTGCATCTTTAACGAATGACAGCTTCATTTAATAGGGTCACTTCAACCTGATAAACGGTTTCATAAACTAATGGGAAATTGTAATTAACTTTACACTGTGGATTACTGATTATATTTATTCATCTATGCTTAGATTTAAAATAAAATCCAATTAAAATGTTTTCCACGAATGGCTTCACTGAGCTGCCTCTCTTGAGTCTCATGTTTTCTTCACAAACTGTGCAGAGCTTTGATTAAAAAGATTAATATTATTTGCAAACCACATGCTGTGAAAAGTGACTCCGTTAGCTTACTAATTAAAATTGTGCATTTATATCAGCAGAGACAATCCTTGGGTTTCAAAATGATGACGAATTAGCGCTGTTGCCACGGAAAGAAACAGAAAATAAAATATTATACCTTTTGAATGATGAAATGTCCTTAAAAATTTACTTATGACCAGAAAATTGAAAACCAAGAGATGCTAATGGCAAATCTCCAACATAACTCCTATTCTCTGCATCTTCTAAACTAGATTTAACAAGGTGGATTAAACCAGGACTAAAACTACGTCAAGGTCTAAGCGAGGACTAAACCAGGGTCAAACCAGGTTCAAACTTTGACTTAGACAAACTCTTTTGATTCAGAAGGGAAATTATTTGGACACTGTTGCTCACATCATATTATAGTAACATAATAAGAAGAAAAATAGTTTAACAAATTCTAAATCAGTCGCAGAAATAGCAAGACACTGATGTCAAATAAAGCGTAATTATATAAGTGTATATGTAAAAATAATATAATAATTTAAATATATCTCAGAGGTTGTAAGGAAAACAGTAACAAGTGTGAATGCAGTCTATGTAACTACAGTGCTCCTTCACTACATCCTCAGTCTCTTTTTGTCCTCCTCTCACCCTGTAACCCACGGCAAAATTGAAAATGTCTTCTGGATGGGAGACGAAACATCTTGGTGGCAAAAACAGTGTCCAGATGGCCACTGCTGAAACTGTCTCTATATTTCTTTAACCCTCCAGCATAAACCTCTGCATCCTTCTCTCCACATATGCACTCTTCCTCCTCTCTGCATGTTTAGGCAATAGTATTAGTGGCACTATTACCAAAGATTTTCTTTAAATAGTAAGCATCTGATAAGTCTTTTGTGCAAAGATTGTGGATATATTTTGAAAGACTGCTCCAAAGGGTGTGCAAAAATATCGAAATATTGATATATCTTATCATTTAATGTGATGATACAGTATCGATATTGTGGGCTGCTGTATAGATGCATTACCAAGAGTCTTTTTTGGTGTATTTTATTCAGTTATTTTGTTATAGCATTACAGTTTTGTTGCTTGTTTAGTGGAACATGAAACTCGTTTGACATTTTCACAGTTTTGATGATTAAAATGTTTGTGTTTCATATTCACTTTGCACAAGAAATGGTTTAACAAGGACTTTCAGTGTCACAGCCATGATTTAGCCTTTATTTTTACTGAACCAATTTGAAATATATCGTATTAAATCAATTTGAAATATATCGTATTAAATTGAAAGTGCACGGTATCGAGATATGTATCGTATTTTGGCCTGTGTATCGAGATATGTATCGTATCGGCAACTTGATAATGATACCCAGCCCTAATGGAGGGTTCTTGTCTGATCAGCCAGTCCTTTCTATATTCTGTTCGAATCCAGAAGGAACAAGAAACCACAGAGCGTGAAAATCCTTCATCCTAACTTAAGCCAATCAAACCAGAGCCGCTAATTTGTTCACGAGTCAAGACATCGCATCCAAAAACCTGATATCATAATCCTCATCATCAACAAAAAATATAACTTCTTTTATCTGTCTCTCTGATTGGTTAATCCGCTTGTCAATCATGCCCTCTGAAATCAGGGAGACAGGATATGGCTCCAGGTAAGGAGGGTTTGCCACCTGCATAACTCCATGGAGATGTATTCACTTGGCTGAGAATGTTCCATAGTATTAGCCAGGCTGGCGCCACCTACTGTATCTGCTCAATTTCATTTCTCTCCAGCGACTAGGTCAGGGTCGGAATACACTAGACGCTTTGCAAGAACCCCGGAAGTGATAGACAGTGCAGCGACCAGTCAGCAAAGAACTGTGAAGCCATGACATCAAACTCAAAGTGCCTGTCTGGGTCCCTTTTGTGGTACAGCACAACAGTAAACAAAGCGGTCAAAAAGGATGTAGATAAAGCCATACATTCTGTGTTGGCAACAATTACCAAGATCGAGGATTTAAAGACGGAACAAAGAGAATGTTTGGTGAATTTTATCAAGGGAAAGACATTATCGCCCTTCTTCCTACGGGACTTGGCGCATTACATACGTCACTAACCCTAACCCAAATAGGAGCATACCTGTCTACTGTTGAGTGAACGAATCCTAAAGCTGCGAGGTCAGACGGTTTCCACAAAGTGAAACGGGCTGATGAATCAGGCTACCACAGTATGGCCTTAAAGTAATATATGTCCATGGACAAGCAGGTGGCATGTACTTCACGGTATCAAAATGCTATTGTGAGATCTTATTACCTCCAAGACATACTGTATCTCATACATGACATCAATTTGTATGGAATTCATGCTTGTTTTCGTTAGATTGTTGAACCTCTCTCTCCCTCTCTTTCTTTTTTCTCTCTCTCTTCCTCTCTCTGTCTCTTTCTTTTTCTCTTGTTAGCTTGTCTTCTTTGGGGTCGCGTGTGGCACTTACCTGACAGCTGCAGTGGTCACGGACATGCTCTGGTGACACTGAGTCTAATGTGTGTGTTTGGCTTAAGGCGGATCTGTGTCAGGACCCAGGGGAAGAGGACTGTGTGTGTCCAGGTGAAGAGGCACGTGGGACCTGCAGGGACCAAACAGCAGAGGCAGGTAAAAGACACATAAAAATATCAATATAAAAATTAGTTTAAAGGTGCACTGTGCAACTTTTCTGGTGGAGGGTCATTCACCATCTTGTTTCCATGAAGATATTGACTGGGATGTTCTACAGTATGGGATTATGTTTATTTATCTTCACAGAAACAGCAGGTAAGTTACATGTCAGATCTGTGGAGAGGCCAGCCCACTCACAGTACGAAAGCAAGTTTTTAAGTCAATACACTGCCAAAAAAAAGCTTGGGCAAAATTTAAGATATAAACACTTAAATCTATCAGAAAATGACTTAAAAGAAGTGAAATTATCTGTCCATGCAGCAAGATCATTTAACTTGACAAGTTATCCTAAAATAAACTACCTCTAGATTAGAATTAATCAGTCTCAGAACTAGTAAGTAAATAATAAATCTGAAAACAAGATGAATAACCTGATATAAGTTTTAAAATTTGCAGTGTAAAAATCCACGATATTGAGTAAATGCAAGATGGATACATTTAAGGCCATACTTGGACATTCCAGACAAAGCAATTAATTTAATTTGGGTTAGTAAATATTAGCAAAACCCAAACCGGCATGGAACAAATCAGTTTTCGTTCAAGCCACGTATATTGTTTTTTATATCAGCCGTCCCAGAAGCTTAATTCTGTGGAATTGCGGCATGTAAATTAACATATAAATAGGGATGTAACAATAACCAAAATATCGTGATATCATATCGTCAAAGTTCTCACAATAACCATCACAATATATCACATTACAAATCTCTATGCTTAAATTAAGAGTTATGGTGCAGCAATAGCTAAAAAAAAAGACAGAGGGAACTACATAGACCATGATCCTTTGCTCCATTTCAGTATAAACCACATGAAGAAATAACAGTTGTAAGCACTTTTAAGTCTTAGTTCTTTGGATTAATT